TTTGCACTTGCCGTGCTGACTGTTATCTTCATTTTTGCTTTCAGTTATATTGCCTGGGAATTCCTGTGGGAGATGCGCCGGTGCCCAGGATCAAGGATCAGGAAAGGGGGAACGGGAAACAAGGACTGCCGGCTAAAACAAATTGTGTGCCGGGCCATGGGCATAAAAACAAGCGGATCAAACAGTCGGGCAGGTGGAAAGTAAAGTAAAGTAAAGGAAAGGAGAGGCATCATGGTGGTTGCTTTTCCTTTTCCCATTTCCCATTTTCCATCTCCCATTTTTTTCTGTTGCCATCCATCGGGAGCCGCAAATCGAAAAAGAGTGTTCCCCGGATTTGCTTCGTTGTTTTGACCGTAGCAAGGTTCATTGAAATTGCATTAATGTTCCGTTTGGCTGATAGATAAACCCCCTTCCCCCTCCGGAATATCAAGTAAGGTATCAACCTGCCACCCCAAACGCTGCTTTGCTTTGTTGCCGTAATGGAAATCTGCGTGTATAATCCGCCCTCTGATAAGTTGGGCGGGATAAACTAGTTATGGCCATTAATACGATCAATTTGATGCTCACTTCGGTGTAAGTAAATAACAGTCTTATTGATATAAAAAAAAAGGAAAACATATTCGCCGAGAACATCCCTTCGTCACAGTTGCTTGTAACTGATAATGGTAAAGTTCGGAAGTCTGGCATCTACATATGCCATATATTATCGGAACAATCGGGGGAGGATGAAAGGGATGGGTGGGAAGGGATGGGAGGTTGGAGGAGAGGCGACGGTGACTGTGGGTCAAGTGATGCGTTGATGTGCATTTTAAGCAGGTTAACCTGTTAACTGTCACAACCCTTTTTTTCGAATTCTGTATTTTTTGTGCTCGGAAACTGAAATAAATGGGCGGCCGGGGGTTCAACTTAGTTAGATCCGATTTATCAAGGTGCGTGGAAGTGTGGACAGATGTTGGCTAACACTCGTGGGTTATGCACTACGAGAAATATGTTACTTTGTTTAAGAAATTTACGATTTTTAAATTGAATTATGTATGTTTGTATAAGTCTAGCAATTAAAATGACGAACTGCTGATTTAATTAACAAATGGAAATTTAAAGCCAAATGTTTAAACTAAATGTTTCCTTTTCATAATTATACGATTTTAAATGTTTTAAGATGGCTATCATAAAATAAAAAAGTATTTTTAATAATTTTGGTTTTGTGAAACATTTTGATATTATAAGATTCTCTGACTTGGTTTATTAATTACAAAGCTATCTGTACAAACCTATATAAATATCCTATGTTGAAAAGCAAAAATGATCTGAGCAATTGTGAATGTATTTCTATTCTAATGTTAAATTTTAAGAAAGATTTTAAGTCCCCTGACAAGTTTTCCGAACTTTCAATCTAAAGCCAAGTAAATGAAAGCGGTTATCTGGATATCGGTGGAAGTTGAATGTCGATTGTTTGTGAACCCAGAGCTCTTTGTTTTTTTCCCTCTTTTTCGATTTGTCGCTGGAGCATTGAGCCGATTGTAATCTGCAATTTGGCCAATCAGTCGATTTGGGCTAAAAGCTGCTTCCGCCGAAGTGGCCCATTAAAAATGCATGCAACTGCAGGGTGAAAGTGCAATTTGCAGTCGAACTTCTAATGCGCCGTTGCGTGTAATTGTGTGTGCAACTATTAACTATACAACTCGGTTCAACTTGGCGTATGAGCAATCGCCTCTGTCCTTCTACGGTTCTTTTTTTTGTTTCTTCTTCTTTTTTCCTACTCCCTCCATGTCTTCAATTGTCTCGGCCATAAAAAGAGACGAACACACACACAAACGTACACACATTCAGTACCTAAATAATTGATGAAGAAAAGGAAACTAAATAAATAAATAAGGGAAAACATCGAGGGGAAAGTGGATGTTTTTGGCATCGGGGGCCACGGTAAATTGTCACTGGATGACACAAAGCTTTCTGCACAGCGCAAATAAAATAATAAAATAAATAAATGAAAAACATGCTCACTTCGCAGACAGACATTGAACTTTCACCTAAGCAAAAACAACGACAACAAAAACGATACGAATGTCCGATGTCCGAATGTCCGACCACTAAATAAAGTTAATGCATTAATAATCATAATTTCTTCTATATTTGATGAGCCCATTGTGGCTCAACGCTTTTTGTGGCTCTCTGTTGGTCAACATTAAATATGGTTACACATTTAATTAAGTCAATCAGACCGGCGATAAATGACAGCGTAATCGATAACCAGACATTGCCTTTGATGGCCAGACGATAAACAATGCACTAATCGATTATAGGACAATTTCAACGATTTTCCGGGAATGGGGAAAATGTCGTCGCTTGTTTATCTATTGCATTTGCTGACGGGTAAGCTTTTTAGTGGCTTTTCAACTACAAAAAAGTTACATTTTCTTTGTAGAAGTAAAATTAGAGTTCAATGTTCGGTAACTAAAGTAAACTGTTTGATTTGCAATTCGACTTGGGCGGCTTAAGAAAATTGCTGGCAAAAACTTAAATGCTGATAAATACCGGTGGTTATTTAACTTTAAGTGGATATTATATCGAGTTTCTACTTTTAAGCTTTTCAGTGGACTTAAACTGTTTTTCCTTTAGTTGGCGAAGGAAACGTTTTATCTGTGAATTTAATTACATTTTTTTCCATACAATTTATGTCTATTTCTGGGGGAAACTTTTGTTGAAAGGGAGAAGCATTAAACATTAACAAGCTGATCCGATTAAATAATGGTTATTAGCACAGCAGATTCATTAGGCTTAAACATAAATTTATATGCGTTTTGGCTCTTGTTTCTACTTTAAGTAAACAGTTATGAATGGTTCTGTAGAAAAAAAAAAACAAAAAAATGTAAGCCAACCATTAAAGTTAAGCCTTTTTAAAAAAAAAAAAACCTACCAAATTGATTAAAGAAGGCAAATATAACAACAAGTTTTGTCTATTTTAAACTCTTTACAATTAACTTATTGTAGACTTGATGTTAGGATTTTACACATTTTTAATTCCAAAGCAAAACTTAAGAGCATACGCATATTGTATTTTTATACCAATAATGATGATTTTCCATCTTTTTTATATTTAACAGAACTTGAAACCCGTGTGCAGCAAAGCCCAATCATGGAAATAAATAGGCGTTGTATATTTCGTTGGGGATCCCCCGAAGGTCCACCCTGGCAGCCACCCTAGTTAGCGGTAAGTTGTTTCTAATGTGCGCAAAGGACAAATATTTGCTGTTGTCGCCTGTCGCCGCTGGGCCAACAATAAAAACAATAGCCAAAGGGAAGTGGAAGCGGAAATGCTGGTGGAAATGGTAGTGGAAGTGCCACTGAATGTGGAGTTCCGTTTTCCCGGATTGCGTGTGGAGTGGCAATGGTGAGCTAACGATATTTACAAAACAATATGCCAAACCGCAGGGAGCAGGAAAAACAGGAGCAGGAGCAGGAGCAGGAGCAGGAAAAATCAAACAGGTGCACTAAATGAATTTCAATATGATAAACCACTTGTGGTTGAGCTGCCACTAGTTCGCTACCAGTAATTTTCAAAACCAAAATCCTGTATCCTGTATCCTGTACACTGTATCCTGTATCCTGTATGTATTCCTTTGGGCGGTGCGTGCTTGGAAAACGATTCGAAGGGAAATTGAGCCATATGTTGCGAATACTAATGGACAGGATATATGTGCCCCTTTTCCACGTTCTCCTCCTCCGGAAATATGTAAGTGTAATTTAAATTGAATTAAGTGAACCAGGGGTTGCCGCTTGGGTTGCTTGGCTTGGTTTTTTTTTTGGTTCGAAAGTGTATCTATCGGGAATAACGAGATCGGAGCATAAGTTCCAAGCGGAATGAATCCGTGATAAATGCCTGCAAAGTGGCCAGCTCAACTCATCCCGTTGAATCTCATTTGACACAGTTGGTATGAAATTGATAATGGATATTTTGCCTCCGTCGTAATTGTTACAAATGTTTCCAACAACCTGACAACAAACCCCCCTCCCCCCCGCGAAAACCCTCCGAACCCTTAACATTGAAAACCCACCCCACTGATTTGTGAGTTTTATGATGGATATGATTATTTTAATTAGCATTATATTTACTCTTGTTTACCCTTTTCGGCGTCGCCTCGTTTTTATTGCGATTGCCTCTCCACATAATTGGCTTTTCATATGCTCGCAAAAACCAACCAGCCAAAGAAGCAAAAACCATGCTCTGAAAACCAGTTAACCAGTTGGAATTTTTGGGGGCTGCGGACTCGTAAATTAGTTTAATTTAATGAGTTTTGCAGCAATGCTGTTGTTTTTGCCTTGGGCCAAGGCCACTTTTGCTGCTTTTGCTGGTTTTGCTGCTGGGGGCCTTCTGTCTTCTGGCATAACGATTATGACACATGTTACCAGACTTTCTGACAGCCCAACCTCCCCAGCTCTCGAAACTTTACCCTCCAGAGGAAAGGGGAAGGGGGAAGGGGGGATGTTGCACGTGGAAGGATTCGCTTTTCAGGCGGGAGGATGGGGAAAGGGTTCAGGTGGCAGGTGGCACCACATTAACCGGAGGCACAATTAGCAGAAACCTGACAACTCAGACGGGAAGAATCTTAACTTCGAAAATAGCTAAAAAAGGAAGGAGATCGGTTTTCCTATATAGAAGTAAAGTTTTAAAATAACAAATAATAAAATGAGTACCTATACACTATAATTTTATTACCAGTAAACAAAGGTTTAATGGAACTTTTTGTTACAGATTAATTTTGTTATACAATAATAAACCTTAAATATTGTGCGATTATATTTATTTGTATTTATTTATTCCCTTATTGTTTATTCCTCTTTTATTTTTATTGCCTTTACTAGTTTATTTCATCAATATGCTCACAGGACTGAAAATAGAACTCAGAAAACGAAATTCATCAAATTTTTCAAACGCAGTTGCCTCCGAAATTTATTTTAAGCACGTTCGACTCCCTTTGACTTGTAGTCATCAGTATTTCACAGTCAGTGCTAGAGAACAGTAGAAACAAAAACATTCTGGGGAAAAAAAGGTGAGAATCCCCCAAAAATTAACAAAAAAAAAACGAACTAAATTTCAATTTACATTCAGACAGTTTTAAGTGCACAAAATTAAAAGTGATTTTACAACGAACACAGAACAATGCTAAACGGTCACGGCTATTACATACGAAGGTGCCAATCTTGGCCAATGAGAAGAGGAGACCTAGCAGTGTTGAAAATGCAGATGGAGGTTTTTAACAAAAATCCATTGAAAGTTAAGCCGCCGGTGCCACCGAAACCCAAGCGTCTAACGAACTCAGTGATGAACAAAGTTCGACAGTTTGAATCGGAGATGAAGCCATTTAGCAAAGTTCTACCACAAAAGGAGATTACAATGAAATCAAGAGTAGATACAAAACAATCGGGGGTTAAGCCCAAGCCAGAAGTTAAATCAAAACCAGAGGTTAAATCAAAACCAGAAGTTATGGCAGAACCAGAAGTCAAGCCAGTTTTTATGCAATCCATAAAGGTAAACAATATTTTAAAGACAGATCTAGAGATTATACTAAAAGTAAAGGATGACGGAAAGATAGAAGTTGAAGAGGTTATAGCACAGCCCAAGTTAGAAATAGAAATAATATCAAAGATTAAACCAAATTCCATGTTATCGAAGAATATCTTCCAAAATAATGTAATGGCTATACCAAAACTGGATGCTAACGAATCTTCAGAAGCTAAGCTCAATCCGAATCCTAACTTGGAACTCCAACCCGAGTTTATATCACCAATCAGTTGCGATGTCACGACTCAAACCGAGTTTGAGTGTTTCCCGCAGAGCGAATGGGAGGGTTTTGGCAAGATTGGAGATGCTTTGGTGCCCAAAGTGGAAGTCAAACCAAATCCAGTGACGATGCTCAAGCCCCAGGATATATTTAAATCGGTGGAAGTGTCCAATCTCGAATCGGATGCAGCCGTTAACAGCGATCTTCAAAGGCATTATTTCGATGATAGTGTGTTGGATGATGTGCCATCGTTCGATGAGTTGTATGCGGAATGGAGAAGATATCGTGACAATTTAGCTTTTGACGATCAGCAGTACGAAAAAATCCAACGCGACCGAATGGAAATCGATGAACAACTCAATATTATTATAAAGGCAACGGAGAAGCTTATCGAGGACTTCGATCGATGTTTTCCCCAGTTTTAGCCAATTAGAATAAACTCTTTTCGATGTGCTAAATATTCGAGTGTGCCATATATTACGTAAAAGGGTCGGTTGTCCAGCTGCTTCGGCTTGGTTTACTCCCACAAAGTCCGGTTTTGGGGTCTTAATATTTGATGTGGGACCGGGGACTTATGTTTGGTCGTGGGGTCAGTAGCCAAACTTGCTTGCGGTTGACACAATGTGTCAACTCTCCCATCGAAGGGTTATACTCTATGTTCAGGTTTCGGGCTCTGAAAAGTCCAGGTGGTATTTAAAGTTGGTTTAAAACGGACAGTACACGTGGTATTTTGAGTGGCTTTAGGTACAAAAGTCATGGAATGTAGACCTTCTTAAGCTAATAGTGTTTATGAAACTTCTAAAAACTATTCTTATTACTGATCTAGAAAGAGCAGAGTATGGATAATTTTACTGTACTACTTTTACTCTATTGATTAAAGAAGTCTTAAAAAAGAAGCCACACAGAAATAGCGTCATTTAAATATACTGATTTATTACATTTGGTAAATTATGTAGCATAAATATAAAAATTAATTCTTGTAAAATTATATAGTACGTCTTTTCTGAAAGATTTCTTAATCTGACTGATTTTAGATTGGGAACTATTTTACATCTATCGATGAGTTATATTTACACGTTTACTTAGTTTATGGGAAAGTCCTTTGCAGGCATTTTTTTGGGGGACTTTTTTTGTAGGATTTGTAAACAATTTCTTAAGACCAATGAGCTCTGGCAATCTTGCAAGTGTTATTTGAGACTTTGATCCCCGCGAGCTCTCTGATTTCTTGTCCTTATTAATAAGCCCTTTGCGGGAACCCTCTGCCCGGAAAAAGCCAATTTGTTAACAATCGAATCGGAGATCGTGTGCGGGAATCGGACGGATATATCTTGGGGGTGCTTGAGTCTACGAGAGTGTGGGTGATTGATAGAGTTCGCCGGCACCTGAGACCGAAATCGAAACTCGAGTGTGCAGTGTGTGTGTGCGTGTGTGTGGAGTGTGGAGTGTGGGTGTGTGTTGTGCCGAAAATTAAGGACAGCACGCGCTGGCAATTGGGAATGGTTATGGGTTATGGGTTATGTGCCAGGAGGGACTTGCCTTCGATTTGGGTGTGAGTTTGGTTTTGGGTTTGAGTTTTGGGCTGTGGATTGTGGATTACTTTGCCTACAACCACATCAACCACCGCGAATGCCCACCGTTGAACGTTGAACGTTGAATGGTGAATGGTGAATGGTGAGTGGCAAGTGGCAAGTGGCGCGTGGACAGGGCGCACTTTCGTCATGCTCGATTGTGCCGAAAACAAGTGGCAAGTGCAACAGTAACAACAACAACAACAGCAACCAGCTAAAGCAACAGCAACACGAGCAACTACAACTACAACTAGCTGGAGGCACAGAAAAAAAAAAAGAAAATAGGAAAAACGGAAAAACAAGTTGCTTGTGTAATTTGATTACAATCAACTTCTAATAGAGCAGCAACCACCACTTGGGCTTCAAGCCCCCTTTTCCCTGTTTTCTCGTATTTTTTTTTTTTGGTCAACTGTTCTTTGGAACGCCCAGTTCGAGCTGAAGTACAATACAATTAACGACACGAATCATGATGTGCTTACCTGGCAAACGACCGTCACGTGGCACGTTCCCAGAAGGCTTACACGTCACAATTTTAATTTTATTAAAGAAACATTTCAAATTAACCGCACCGCATTCACCTCGCTCACTCTGTAGATATATAGATCTGGATATATGTATGTATTTATAGGTAGACATGCGTGCGACCATCGAAAACGGAAATTGAAGTTCTCGGCTGTCCCAATGTGACATTTCCCGCTCCCAATTGCGTTTCCAATTTCCCATTCCCATTCCCCTTCCCATTCGCTTTTCCATTTCCCCACCGCAAATTTTTCGCTTCATCAGGGAATGACTTTCATAATTTGCAGCATTCCAGACGTTGGCTAATACCCCATATCCGAACCTACACACACACACACACACAAATACAGAGACACACAAAGGGGGCAAACCGCAAAAAGGGGGCGTGGTGGTTGGGTTCAATCAACCGTTGGATTTCAACTTCCGGACAAGAGGAGTTGGTATGATAATACATACTCGTATGTTTTTGATTTGTACAGCTTAGCTGTCCTGGCTAATCGAACAAGGATTTTAAGGACTACGAGTAACGGGGAAAATATAGTTGTGACACACGAGCTAATGGAACCAATTTAAGATTTGTGTAAAGAGATTGTTAAAGAGAGCTTTTTAATTGATAGTAAAAGAAATACTTGTTCCTTTTAGGCTTGTTTTTTGGTAAGAAATTTAAAACTCTGGTTTTGAAATAATGTTAAGTGTTAATATGTTAAGAAATCAAAAGAAATTATTAAGGAAATTTTTATACACACTGTTTAAATAGGTTTGCTTCTCAAGTTATTTGTATTTTACGGATATTCAATTAAGTGAAAAACGAGCAGGGGTTGTAAAAAGAGAGCTCTATAAACAATACTAAAAATGATTTGATTTTAGTTTCTTCTATATTAAAGATATTCCAATTCTAGTTAAGATATGTTGAAATAATAACTGTTGGCTTCTAAGTTTTCTAAGGTGTTCTTTCTTGACGAATTGTTAAAGTTGTAATGTTGTAATTTGCAGTAATCCCCCCAATGTCATATATCATTAGCTGGGTTTTGTGATAGACTCACCTGCAGGGGACGCTGGGGAGGCCCACTCATGGAGTGGTGGTGGTACATGACGTCGTGCTTGATCTGGGAGGGCATTTGGCTGTGGACGTGCTGGGCTTGGTGCTTCTGGATGTCGACGGCTGCCAAGGCCTCCGCTCTGCTGAGGATTCCATCGTTGATGCCCGCGAAGATATCACCCTGCAACCAATATCCATTCAGATCAGATAGATGTACCATATATAGATAGGATGTATGTTCTTGGGGGGAAGGGGATGCTGGGAAATATAGATTTATACTTGGTCCGCAGGCAAGAACGCAATCGAAACAATAGGGAACAATATAGAGAACAAATCACCCAATTTTTATTTATTTTCAATACCATACAGATATACTGAATTATATATGGTATAAATATATAGTTTTGGCGTCGGCGAGAGACAAAAATGAATTTCAGAAAAGGAAAAACAAGTCAATCAAGTCAAGACAATAATGGTTTACTGGTTAACTGATTGGTTTTTTTTTTTTTTTTTTGTTGTTGTTGTTGTGTGGTTTGTTATGGTAACTTACATTCTGACGTGCTGACCACGAATTGCATAATAGGGAAGCATCTTCTAACAAACGACTCTGAAAAGACGGAACAAACATCGATAGTATGTGTATAGAGATTGAAGTGCCAGGTGCAACTATTATTTCATTTTATTTCTTATTTATTTCTTTATTTATTTATTTTTTTTTTTGTTTCGAAGGAAGTGAACAACCTGAGAGAGTTTAAAGGCTTTAAAGCAACCTCCGTTCGTATTGATTTTTTCGCTTTCCCACCGCTCCACTAGCTGGTTTTTAAATAAATAATGTCAAAAGTTTTTCGGTGCCCGTGCCCGCATGTTCATCTTCATGTCGTCGCCGTCGTCGTCGTCTTTATTATTCCAGTCTTATCGATTTTATATTTTATATATATCTATATATATAACTCGATACATATACATATATATAGAGTGTGTGTGTGTATGTGGATGCAGCAAACTCCTTGTGTATACGAAACTCGCACGAATTTTTCAGTTAATCAATTATTTAGATGCGCACAAAACTTCAAAACGCCGCACGACGAAAACGAAAGACGGAAAACGGAAAACGGAAGACGAAAGATGGGAGAGGGAAAGGGATGGGGCTAAGTGTGAATGAGACGGAACCCACATGGCCAAAAGGCATCCATCGCTCACGTTTTGCGGCCCATTTTCAGGCGAAAGGCGTAATTCGAAGACCTAGCAAGTTTACACGGAAAAACTAAGGAGCCAAAGTTAAGCAAATTTTCCGGTAGAAAGTTTTGGAAATGTTGTACTTTAAATGATATATTTAACCATGTAGTAGTGTCTATTTTATTACAAAAAAATTAACACAGTTTCTTATCCCTTTTTTTTTCCTAATAGGTCTTTAATTTTGTTTACTTTAATTGCATTGCGTGCATTTAAAGAATTCAAAAGAAAGGATTAGAGGTTTTAAAATTTGAAATTGTTTACCCTTTTTGCATTTACTTTTAAGCTCAAGTTATTTAAATATAATTTATATTTACATATTACTACTATGTTGTATTGAAAACAACAGATCTTAAATTATCAAACTTAAAAATAAATAAGTAAAGATATGTTAAAGGTATCAAAATGTAACTTCCATGTGCTATTATTTTCTCTGTGTGTAGCTCTATTCCCTTCTCTCCCCATCTTCTTCACTCCAAAACGTGCTGTCTCTTTTTGGCCCAAGTAGGACCGCAATAACCGGGCGGCGGCCATTGTAGAAATCAAAATGTTGTGCATTCTTAATGACGTCTTGGCCCATTCGACCAGTCGACCATCCAACAATCCAACAATCCAACCATCCGACAATCCATCCATTCGACAATCCAACCATTCGACCATGGCCGAACCCTCATTGTCGCTTAAACTTGGTCGAAAGGTGGGCGGTGGGTTGGCCAAGGGGAAGGTGGGCGTGGCAGTTGGTGGGCGGTGTGCAAATAATCTGACAGCGACAGTTTGTTTGCGCTTGCAAGTGGGCGAAGAAAAGGGGGTCGCATTACCGTTGAAGCGACAGTTGCCTTAATGGCCACGTTTATGCGTGCTCCCATTTCAGGATGCCAACGCAACTGGCAGACACAAAGGCTCAGATAAGAGGTCCTTGCAGGCGCTCCGTGCAGTGAGAAAAGTCGGCTATGTCAACAGAACCTTTATTTCATTTTACTTTTTATACTTTCGAGGTAACTTTTTAGTGGTTCTACTTTAAGTCATTTTTCAATTAATTATATAACTTTAATTATATGCTTTAATTTGTTGAGTATCAAAATTACAAGATACAAAATCAGCAATATAACTGATGGCTTCAGGGCAAAAATCATTAACAATTGAATTCAGTTTTTGAAGTGAGATACCTTAAGTTTTAATTTTTTAATCTGCATTTTATTAAGAGTTCAAGTTGCTTGCTCTTTTATTAATATTACTTGTTTATTTATTTCAAAAGAGATAGAATAAATTAAACTTGTCTGTTTTACATTACAAAACTTGTACATAGTTAAATTTTCTGTTTATATTTTTTGTAATTAAACAGTTTTTAAAAATATCTTTTCCTTTTTATTAGCATTTCAAATAGATACATTTTCCTCTGCAGGACTAACTGAAATGGGAAAACACTCCTGACCAGAATTCGCAACAGTTTGTTGGCCAATAAATTGTAGACCGCAATACAAGACTAAATTAATTTGCGAATTAATATGCGCAGTCATTCATCAAATTATGCAGCGCCAGGACCTCTCTATTGCCCTCTCTTTCTCGACACGACCTAGGCCAGGATCCTGGCCCAAAAGGAAGAAGGTGGGGCAAAGGGAGAGAGAGGGAAGATGGCCAGAACTCTGTCTTGACCTGACACACACACGCACACACACACACACACACGTGCAAAGGGGGGTGGTGCAGTGCAGGTTGACACTTGCACATAAATTCTTTATTAGTGTGAAAAATTAATCAAGTAAACTGTTTTTTTTTTCGCCTTTTCTCCTTTTCCTTTTTGTCGTCCTTCTCTTTCTGTCTCGCACTGGTTTGTTTGTGTCATTTTTCTCTCCACGTGAGTCTCGTCGCCTGCGTACGTAGGTATTGGTGTGCCTTACATATATGTATGTGTGTATAACATTTGACTTTTTGTTTTGTTGTTGTTTATTTTTGTGGGAATTTAATATTGATGATGTGTGTAAATAGATACGCATTGCTGAATGCTTAATTTTATCGATTGCGCTGCAAAACACGCCTCCGATTACTGGAGCAATTAAATTCGAAAGGGGGGCAAGACTTTAAAACGCGCAGGATATCATTTAAGTTGCGGAAAAACATTGGATTAGTTTTATGCGGATGTTTAAAGAAGTGTTTTGATAAAATACAAGACTAAAGGAAAGCTCACTTTGCAGAATGTACTCCTAAGTAATTTAAATGTCTCTCTTCATTACAGGATCTTTTGAAAACCTTTACAGACTTTTGTTAATTCATATAAAAAATGTTGGAAATTGATGTTGTTTTCTTTTTCGAAATAAAATAAAGTGAATGATTCGAGGTAAGATCTACATTTTTATAATTCTTTGGTTTTACTGAGCAAGAAATAGAAACCAATTAAGGAAGCATGTCCTTCAAATCCACGTTTAAAATTATTAAGACTCTATTTTTCTATTAACTTCTTTTTTTAAGAAACTATTTTTGTATAAAACATTTTCTCGTTACATTTTATTTAATTTGTTTTAATATGAACTACATGCTTCTTTAAAACAAGCACTTACTAGTCATCAGAAGTTATTTTCCGAACTGTTCAAGGACTTTCTTTATTTTATATAAGCGGGGGATAATGTTCTTTGATATACCAAACAGTTTTTCCCCTACTTAATCCTCCAGTTTCAGCACAAACTCAGTTGCTAATCCTTCGATTCAAATCGCCGTCCGACTTTTTCCATTCATCGCATTACTGGTCTCACATTTCCTGCCTTCCTTTTTATTTATCTCTTGTTTTGCCAATAATTTGTCAATTGCCTTCCTGCTGGTCGTGTTTTAATGTCGCGGCCATTTAATGCAGTTTATGAATATTTAAATCAAATTAACGCCGCCGCTGTCCATTTAACGCGGCTGGCAAACAATTCAAGTTAAATGACAACTGCCCCTGGAAAACTCACCCCACACTTACTGAAAAATCGCCCATCCGCCTCCCCCCTCCCTTCTACTCTTTTCATTTTCCCTTCTGAAAATCACACTTCTCTGGCTTTTGGTTTTTCGCCTTCGACGAGTGAATTCTGGTTCAGGGGATCGGCGACAAATTTCCATTTAATGGACTGCAAGGCGTTAAGTGTTTTTGTAACCAGCCAAAAAGCGCGTCCCTTCCCCGAATTTTCCTCCCACTCCTCCCCCTCATCCTCTCCTTCTTCCTGGTTTTCCCTCGATGCTTCGCCCTGTCTAATGCCCAGCCAAGGGTAGCATATAAATCCTATAAATCCGCCGCTTTGATCATTCAACTTGGTCCGCTGGCAGCCAGCAAAAAGCCGAAAAGTGGCTAACGGCCAGCTGGTGGAAAGGGTGAGAGGTCAAAGCTGCGGCAAGAAGAGGAAAAGAGGGAGAAAGGGAGGAAGGGAGGGGGGATAAATCCGATAAGCAAATGTAGTTGTTGCCCCTTAAAGAAAGATACACTTGAAGTGATTTTCTCCTTTTTTTTTTGCTCTACTTTGTTTTTAAAGTGCTTCTGTGTCGGATTAATTTAAGGACTTGCAGGCGGGGTTGCAAAATGCTAGGGAAATCCGTGGTCTGCGAGGGGGAATGAAAAGATAACCCCCCACTGCCATTCACCTGTTCTGGCAATCAAGTTTTTTTTTTTTTTTTTTTTTGCGCCTGGCCCTCGACATTTTCCAACAATTTTCAAGTCTCTTTTCTCATTTGTTTATGCACATTTTATGCCCTAGCAAAGGGTAGCAGAAGAAACCAGACAGTCTTCCTCCATAAATTGCCCTGCCACTTAGTTTTTATTGGTGTTTTTTAACTTTAATTGAAATTAAAGTGGAGAGTTTTAAATTTACATTTTCTTATGTTTTTATTTTCTGGTAATTTCTTTCTTTTGCTTCCTTTTATGTTCCAAATTCTAAATATTAAATTATTCATTCAATTGTGAGCTAAAATGTTATGCTATTTAAAAATAATGTCTTAGTGAATTCAATTTTAATATTTTAAATTTACCTATTTGTTCAAAAACTGGACTGCCTGTTTTTTTTTTATATTTTCACTTTTCTGTTTTAAATTCTATACTTTTATTATTCATTCATTAATTTATTTCAATTCTATAAAAATCGAGTTTGCTTTAAGAAACACAAAGTTATATATAAAAGCTAAAATTACATAGATATGAAATATGTAAATTTTGATATTCTTGTTTCCATAAACTGTTTAAAAGTCGTTGAAAAGTTGTTTTTATTCACAATCATACATTATTAGGCAACTGTTTTTATTTGCCTGATTTTGCTCAGTTCTCTCGTAGAAATTCAGTTAAAATTTGCATTTATCACATAGGGTATAAACATTTTCATTCAGCCAGCTCGTAATTTGTTTTCCCTTTGTTCTTCTGCCCAGTGGCTCTACATTTTTTATTTGTCTAGCTGGTCAGCAGCGCATACAAATAGTTGGTAAATAATTAATGCAAATGAATTTCAAATCACTTTTCAAGGTTGCTGCACAACCCCTGAGTTTGGGTTTGGGCATGGATTGGGTTTAGTGGGTAGTAAAAATCCCTTAAAACTGGGCAAAACTCAATCCGGGAAACTTTGGCGACATTCCCGCCGTAATTAAGACAAATGTTTGTAGGAAATTATAGCGAACGGAAAAAAGGAAATGCATTTCCATTTCCACTTCCGTTGAAGTATTACTTTTCCTGTTCGTTTTCCTGTTACTTTTCCTGTTTTTATTCACCTGTAATCCTGGCCAGAAGCAGACTGACATCAATAAACATGTCTGAGAACTGTCAGTAATAACCATTTAATGTCTGCCCATGTTCCCATTCAATTTTTAACTCAAAGCTCATAAAAGATTCAAGAGGACGCTGGCAAACTCCGAGACGCCTGCCAAATACTCCGAATTATTCGTTATTAATGCATTCAGGCAGGAAAAACACGGCTTTCCCGAGCTTTTCACATCGCCCAACTGGGTTGGATGTCGGGTGCTCTTCATTCAGCCCCGGAATGCGATGGAAAGTATGAATGGGGACCATATTTGCGGGTCACAGGAACAGGTTGCGATGCGTTGCCAACTTTCCTTTTTGCCATTGTGATTAGCTTGGTCTTAATGAGCAGGAAACGTTGAGTGTTTAAATGTCTTGTGGCATATGAAAGCGAGTACCAGTGATTTAAAAGTTTATTTTATCTAGTAAACAATAAATAAAGGGAGTACTAATAGAACTATGATAGTATGTTGAGAAAATGTGAAGATTGTTTTGTCAGAATTGTCTTAAAAAAGTCGGAATTAAAAAAAAAGTGATGTGTTAAATATTGCCTTGGTTTTGTGTTTAAGGTGTTTTTAAATCTCTATACAGATTTTGTTTATCAAAGATATTATATGGGGAAATATACAATATGAGCACTTTAGGTTCAAGAGAATATTATTTATAATTTTCCCTTTAGTTGATTTATATAAACCATGAGAAAGTCGTTATAGTTCATTGACGTAAGCGTGACTTGCATTTTTGCGGTGCCGGAAAGTGTTCAGGTGCCATCGCACAATTAATTTATTTTCCAATGACTCAGGAAAAAACGAGTGAAAACGTTCTGCGAATGTATTTCGGGTAATATGACATTAAATTTTCATTCAGCCAAATTCACCATAAGTATTTTTTAGTCCACAATAATTGGGCGTTTGAAGATTGAAAGATTGAAGAAGGCACATCCTTTTTAAATTTTTTTTTCCCAAAATTAAAACTGTGGTAAAATTGTGAAGCATTGGTAATTTCAATAGATTATTTACAGATGATACTTGTTAATAAATACCACAGTTTTACTTGCATATCATTCTATTAAAAATCAAGTTTTTCGTTCACTAAGCCTTATAGAAATCCTTAAACTTGATTGAGATGAGGACGTATGATTATGTAAGGACAACATGTACAAGGATAGGATTTTTAATCCAATATGGTTGGAATCTTCAGTTTCGGATATGTTACTGATAATATTATGAAAAGTGTAATCACAAAAGGGAGTATTATAGGAATGCTGATCCTGGAAGTTAACAAATAAAAGGACTAAGGATTGGGCTTGATGCTTTTGTTATTCGAATATTTCTTTAGTTTCTGAGTTCCCAATGTTATTGTTTATTAACTATTATATCTAATATAAATCCTTCTTCTTGGTTAAGATGAAATCGTTTGATTTTCTAAGGAGAACTTCTACGAGGAAGGATTAAAACACAGAAAGGAGTTTCCTGCGGTCTAGGAACCATCTTTAATCCCAATTTTTCGTAGAACCTCTTCAGTTTTGGAGTGGTCCCTTTGGGGGACGACGGTGGATGGACGATGGTGGGTGCGACGATACTCACCGACGGATTTGGCATGCAGCGGCGCATCTGCTCCGAACTTCGGTAGGAGGGACTGTAGCGTCCTGGAAAACAACTGGGCGCTGACATTTTCATTTTATCCGTCGTCGAGTACATCGACATTGTCATGCAGCCGCCGACGAAATCCTCCTCCAGCTTGAACGCCCTGGAGGCGTCGAATGTGGTTGGCGAGTAAATTTTGAAGCACTTACTGGGACAGCTTTAGCGCGTGTCCTGCATGCAGGACATCAACAAATATCAAATGCACTCGGGCCGACTTAAAAGCGCCCTATTTTTCTTATTCTTAATCTTCTTCCTCGATTCGCTTTCAATTCACTTCACTTTCTTATTTTACTTCTTTTCGCTTCGCCGGTTTTGTTTTTATTTCTTTCTTTTTTTTTCTATTTGCTATTTAATTGATTTTAGCGCGTTTGCGGAGAAACTGAGAAAAAAAAGACGCACAGATAAAAAAATGTTGCTGGTTAAGGAAAAAAAGAGGCGTTGATTTGCCGCCGTCGGTAAATTATATTTTTGTTTTGGGTACTTTTAATTGGATTACGCGCACTCGAAAAAATGGTAAAAACGGTTTGGCGTCGGCGTTCAAACTGTTTACCGTTTTGCGTGGCGATTTCCGTTTCCTGTTGTTCACTTCTTCTTCTGTGTGCGTGTGTGTGTGTGTGTGGGTGTAGGTGTAGTTGTAGTTGTACTTGTAGTTGTAGTTGTTGTTGTTGTTGTGTTGCTGTGTGTATATTTCTGCTGACCGTACCGCTTTGCTTTTGGTTGAACCGCGTGTACCGCGTTGGCTTGAGCGTACCGCTTACCGCCTACCGCTTACCGCTTACCGCTTACCGCTGACCGCTACCGCCGTCCCGCTAAAATTTCCGAGAGGCCTGCAACCAAAAATTTTTTGTCACGGCCGAGAGCAAAACGGAAAAACGCCAGCGCACAGGACACTGATTTCACAACTAGACAAGCGCGCGTGGTGTTGTGATAAAGAATTCTATGATGAGTTTCGCTAACTTCAGAGTTTATTTTCAATGGGGCGGACGACATGTTTTCATTATTTATCAGCGTGGGCGTGGCCGGCGCTTGGCGCTATCCTCAAAATGGCAGCCGCACTCCTTATATAACACACCATCGACGCATTTCATTGGCCAGCGATACGAAGCGGGCAGCGCTGCCGGCGCCTTCGTTCAGCTGGAATTGGACAGTCGGCGGTGTGGCAGCTAAGCGGCGTATCCTTCCAAACTTGACGAAGCCAATGCCGTCAGTGCGTCAGTGGTTCGGCGGCTGCGCAGTGGTTTCCATTTGGGGTAGCGACGAACCACCCACCCGAAAGCCACCCAACCACCCACTCATCGCAAGTCTGTTTCCCCCTTCTTTCCCCTCTTTCCCTCCTTCTTTCCTTTCCTCTCCATTCCTCTCCATTCCTCTCCTCTTCTCTCATTTCCTCTCCTTTGTCCCCTTGGAAAGAACGAGCATCGCAATGCCCCGCAAATGTCCAGCATATGGCACAATTTTTTTCTCCGCATTTTGCCTGCTTTTGCCTGCTTTTTTTCTTTATTTTTATTTTGGGGCTAGGGGGTTGTAGGGGCCGCAACAAAAGACACAAAACGCCAACGCGGGGCAACAATGCCAAAACAAAAATGGGCGTTCATGTTGCAGGAGCTGAGGGGGGAATTAGGGGCGGACTGATGGGGGAGAGTGGGAGGGGCTGCGATGGGTCAGGGATAGCCGGCAGGTGGGTCAGTTCGAAGGGGAAAGGAAAAGGGGAAGGAGAATGGGAGGAGAAGAGGGAGGAAGAGTGGGGAAACAGGGAGGCAGGCCTAGTTGTTGCAGTGCAACTGTTAAAAGCATGCAGCATGGCAAATCACCTACAGGGTGTCCCGATTTTAGTGCTCCTTCAGCACCACAACAGGGTGCCTTTTGCCAAGCAACCCATGATAAAAATTGTATTCTATATCTGCACTATATACTGAAAATTAAATATAGTAAGTTGACCATCCGATACGATTTTGTAATTTGATACATTATTGTTTGTTTCAGTACTTGTTTATTGTTGAAATTAAGCGACTGATTTGTTGAAGATATTTTAAAAAAGGTCATATAATTAATTAAAAAATATTTATTTATTAGCGTATATTTTTCTGAAATTGTAATCAAACGGATTTCAAACAATAAAGGTAAAAAACATTTTTATAGCTAGCCATTTTTTTAAGTTTAAGAGTTCAACTAATTTGTTAAGAAGAGCAAGTGAAGTGAAATGATTGAAGTGATGATTACTTTGTTTGTATACCCCTTTATTATATCCAATTTTTGTAGGGATATTTTTTTAAGATTAAAAAATTAATTTTTTTAATATTTGATTAGCACTCTTGGCGTCATCTATGTATGAGACTAGTTTGGAAAAATGAAGGACTTTTATAGAAAGCGTTTTATCTACATCCTTAAAGCTTCTAAAAGTTAAAAAACGAATAAAAGCATTTGAAGCTTTAGTAAAGTTATTGGGTTAAGGAAAAGCTGAGATATGCTTAAAGCTCAGAAAATCAATTTTGCAAGGACCTGAAATCGTATCGCATTTACCCTTATATTTTTGCTTAAAGCTTTTAAGCTCCCAGGACTTTTCAAAAGCCCAATCCCAAAACCAACCCAGAAATAAACACAGTTTTCGTTTTTAAATTCTCTTCATTGTTTCTCATTCGATTTCTCGGTTTTCGTTTTTTGTACAATTATCTAATACGTTCCATCGTTAATATTTCACAAGTTATTGTAGAGTCGTGTATAAAACTTTTTACAAGGATAGTCTAATATGGGACCTCAACGCGATCAAAGGATAAGTTGCGGATGAGTTGAGTTGAGTTTCATTTTGAGTGGGTGAGCGATGAAGCACAACATGGCCTATAATGAATTTCATAAATTCGTTCAGGAATCATAATACCTTGTTGTATAGCCTATACCAAATACTCGTACGTACATGTATCAACCTAAGTGTATGCGTCTATATAAATACCATAAATACCATATCATAACTAGAGTTTGAACTGAATTTGAACTAATGCGCCAAGCGAGCAGCAAACGATTCGGAACGATCTTTTTTTTTTTCTGGAGGGGCAAAAATGGATCTAATAATGGAGGGGCATTACTAACTATTGCTGACTCCCTGTGGATGAGATCTATGGTCCTACGTATCGTGATGAGTCGGGATTTTCGTCGGTTGCAATTCCATTTGCCTTGTGCATCGTTGCAATTGTGACTACTTTCTACTTTCATTCCTCTTTTGTTATTTTTTCATTCTTGTTGTTGGTGGTACGAATTCGATTCCCCTTCTCGTTGCCCAGAGTTCTTAAACAATTAATTGTGAACGTTTGTGTTTCTGTGTTGTGCGTGGGTGTGTGTGGGTATAGATATCCTATGGCTCCTGACGCCCCAGAATTCCGTAGACGATTCGCCGGCGATTCTGGACTTCGGCTCGCATGGCATCCGTGTAAGGATCGAAGGATAACAGTCGCTTCTTCCGCCGGAAGATGCCCTCCTTCCGCATGATGGCGCACCGCATCAGCTGCTCGTTAACCGGAAACTGCAGGAACTCCAGGATGGAGCGCAGCTCCCGCTCCGTGTGGTGCACCAAGTCGTCGTAGAACACCACCTTGATGCCGCCGGTGAAGTTGCGCGCCCAGCTGAGGTTCATCACCTCCCAGCCCTTCAGCTTATTGCTCACGAACTGCTGCCAATCTGCAATGGGAAGCACAGAAAGGCCATTAATTATTTGCAGAGAACACACCCACGTTTAAAGCTTAAATAAAAGTATATTGTCTTGAATAGTGAAAAGAAAAGCTATACACTTTTCAGCAATAACGAAAGTCATCACAAAATAAGCAAACACCTTACTTAATTTACATTATAGCTTTGCATTCTGTTAAAAAAGGTTATTTTATTTTTTGTTTAAGATTTTGTTTACATTATGGATTGATTAAAATCTTCTTTCAACAACTGTTAACCCAAGTAATTTCCATTTATATTATATTATATTTTGGGAACAAAAACTAAAATGTCTTCCTAATTAATATTTGACTTGGAAAGAAATTCATATTTATTTTGCAATTAATATTGTTTGGCTTTTTAAATTGGCAAACCAATCTAGTAAGTTGATATTTGGAAAACTTCCACAATAAAATTTCCATAAGCCATTGAGTACCCTTTTTTCTGTTAGTCTGCCTAATTGAAATAATTGGATTAAATTGGGGTAAACCCCAATGGTGGGTATATATCCCCCCAAAACGTACATTTTCCCTTGGTGCGCTTGTAGCGATCCGGAGATGCGAATCCGATGTGGCCGCCACTCTGGCGATTGAACTCGGCGATGATCGCCTTCTCGGGATCCCGGACGAGGAGAATCGCCTTGGAGAAGGGCGCCCACGCCTTGCTGCCCCACTCGTGGGTCTTCACCAGTAATACTGAGCTGTTGCACACGTTCTCCGCCGGAAAGCCGGTCTTCAGCAGGCCATAGTCCTTGTAAATACTGCCCGTGAGGATTCCCGTCGATTGCTGAAGAAGATATCGCAACCAGGTGTTCCCACTCCCCGGAAAACTCGCCAAGGCGGTCAAAGCTGGCAGGGATTGCAGGGCGGCACTCACATCGCTGGGCAGGGCCGCTACGGGTTAAGCATTCAAAGGGTTAAATATGTGAACGGAATTAGCTGGGTTTATCTAATTTACTCACTGTAGAAGTCGGCTTTGTAGTCGGCGTAGATTGGAAGATCTCGATTTATGTACTTTAGGTCGCGACACCAGCGTATCGTCATCTTTCGGCTGGGCATCGGAAACCGAGGACTATGAAAGCTTGGAAACTGCGAAAAAAATGTGATATATAATATAATACATATATCTAATGTCTCTCATCTTGCTGAATTTTTACCAAAAGTCTTGTAGCTATTACAGGTATTAATAGTCGTCTTATATTTTTAATTTGTATCTACAAACCCAGCTTTCCTTTCTTGTTTAATAATTATTTTCAGATCATTCCCAGCAAAACTCGACAAGCGGAAATTAAAACCCAATAACTTAAAATGACGTATGCCATTCCACATTTGAAAGATTACTTCCTCAGAAATATAAAACAGAGAAGCCCAACATTCCCTTTGATTGAATGCAATTTAATTGTCATTTAACTGATCCCTTAGGTAGCTGGTGAAAATCAATTTGGAAAAGATTAGTTGAAAATTTTCTTAAAAACCACTATATTTTAAGTGGTTTTTCGGTTGTAATAAAGCCAAATAGTGACTAACAGCAAAACTAAACACTGTTTTGAGCACCTTATGACCACAGTTAACGAGCCCAATCGCTTTTTGGACGATTCAAAAAAAAACTGATTTTTGGCCAATTTTTGCAATTTTCATTTTTTGCGAAAAATGGCAAAATTTCAACTCTTTTGGGTGTTTATACCATCGGATTCAGAATTTTATCACAAATTCAACGAAGTATGCCATTCCACATTTGGAAGAATATTTCCGGAGATATTGCTAAAAAACTGGAATTTTTTGAGTCATTTTATGTAGTTTTGGGCAAAAAAAAAACTTTTTCCATTGGTAATTTGTCTGTTATTTGGGCAAGAAACAACTTGCAGCCAAACAAAGTATAGTTCTGGAAACTAGAAAAGCCCAGTAATTCATGCCACCGAATGCAAAATTAATTGTTATAGTTAATTGATCTTTTAATTAGTTCATAAAAACTGATTTGGGAAAGATCAGTTGAAAATTCCGGTAGAAAACACTATATTTTAAGTGGTTTTTCGGTTGTAATAAGGCCAATTAGTGACTTACAGCGGAACTAAACACTGTTTTGAGCACCTTATGACCACAGTTAACGAGCCCAATCACTTTTTGGACGATTAAAAAAAAACTGATTTTTGGCCAATTTTTGCAATTTTCATAAGGGGTAACATCGTCATTTTTTGCGAAAAATGGCAAAATTTCCATTTTTTGGGTGTTTATACCATCGGAATCAGAATTTTATTACGAATTCAACGATGTATGCCATTCCACATTTGGGGGAGTACTTTCTCAGATATTCCAAAAAAACTGGGTTTTTTGAGCCATTTTGTGTACTTAGTTTTTGGCAAAACAAACATTTTTTGAATGGGCGCCTTCTAGTCATTTCTGTTGGTATTTGGTATTTCGTTTTTGGAATTTGCCAATTAGGCTGTCTCTAACGAACTGCATTAGTTTATTTTGTTCGACATATCTGATGACTGCATAAAGTCCTTAAAGGTTTTGCCACTTATTGCAGTTAACTGCCATTTTAATCATTTACTTAAATTGATTTAATCTATTATTATGGGCAATAAAAATGATAAAATTGGCATTTACACAAGCTATACTTTGTAGCAAAATGGCGTTGCTAAAGGAAGAATCTACTGCTGTGCCAGAAAGAAATGTTCCGCACATTATATTATAGATTGGCCGGCTATTTTCGTAGATTTTCCCTTGGAATGCCACATGCCACCTGCCATTTTCAACTTGCCACTTGCCACTTGTCACCTGCCACTCGAGTTTCCTTTCCCTTCGCTGTTGGATTGTAAAGTTCGTGACTCACCTCGGCGAAGCGTTCGATGCGCGGTCTTTTGGGATGCGATCCGGGAATGTTGTTCATGGAGAGGAACAAAACGCCGCCGATGTAGATGATGATGGTTGCCGAGACACCGAAAAAGCGCCAGCCTTGCAGTGCCATATCGCCGTCTTTGCATTACTGAAAAGCCAGATGATTAACCACGATTATTATGAGCTATCTAATATAGTACTATCTAATGTAGTATCTTTCGTTTATGCGGAAATAATTCAAATGAACGGCGGTGGTTCGCATTAATGAAGCCAATTATCTGCTCGCCCGAACGAAAGACAAAAGTGGAATCAATTTGCGTTGTTGTTCCTGCGTTGTTTATTTTGTTATGACAACGAAACAAATGCGCAAGGAGCAATTTACATTTTCATTTCCGCGAACTCTCTCTCTTCCACTCGACCATCATGACTAACTTGGCCAAATGGGAGCCCGGTAACCGCCGACTTGGTAACCCCGAACAACCCGCAAAAACAGCGACACTTCAGTTTGGCTTGCGAATGAAAATTCAGAAAAAAACAGAGCTACAACAACAACTGAGGAGAAGACTGGCTTTTCAGCTGGAGAACACGAAAGGAGGATACTCTTACTTAATATTTAGGGAGCTCAAATGATTGATGATGGCTTGCCATCCATATTTATTGATGGAGGCCTCCGTTGAGTGATTGTCAATAATCGCACAGCCCCAAAATCATTAGAGGTAGAGACTTTATTTTGATGGCGAAGGAGAGCACCAACAAACAAATTGAGGGAAATTATAAAGTGCGGAATGGGAACATGAAAATGTGACATAATTATGCAGAATGCTAAATTTAACTGCGGTTATAACAAAAGCCAAAAAGGTATTCTTTGGTAAACAAAATTATCTTGAGCACCTATTAAATTTAATAGCAGAAGAAGTACTAGTAAAAGTAAGGGAATTGCCATTATGTGTTAATATAATGGTGGGAAATATAATTTAATTTCAGCACCTTGAACAGGAGTAAAAGAATATATGTAGCAGTTATTTATATTTGCTTTTATAAAGTTAATCAAAATAATTTATATGCTGCATTAAAAGCCACTTGAAATAATTAGATAATAATAAGTGGTTACATACGAATAAATATTAAAATGTAATCAATAATTAAGAGAACAAGAAACATATTTAAATAAACGTATTTACAGAAAATCTTAAACAAATAAAATTCTGCAATCATTTCAACTCATTAATCTCAAGCTCTCCAGGATAAGCACAAAATTGCATGCAATAAATACCAGCTAGTTAAGGGAAAAGCTTTCAGGCTGCGATGGGAGATAATCCCGACCTGTTCAGATAAGAAAGGACTTATCCTGGCGAGCACTGCTTCTAAGTAAAGCCCCAAATACCCATCGAAAAAAAGGGCAACGAGAAGGGGGGAAAAGAGAACAAGAGAATAAAAGCCTTGTCATGCCTTCAACGGAATTCCTTGAGCTGCATAAAACGCTCACGAAATCCGCAAAAGGACACCCCATCACACACACTAACGTACACACACACACACACACACACAATACTAGTTACTCATACACACACATATACATCCCATATGAAGACACACATGAGGAAGACAAGCAGGCAAATGCGAAAATTTATGCAACAGCTGGGCAAAAGGCGGCGAGGGGCGGTCGATGGGTCCTCGTCCTTGGCCTGCGCGTATCCTTGAGCCACCGATAAAACTTTCGCCGGTCCCCGAAATAAAGCAAAAACCTCGCAAAGGATGCCGGCGGAAAAGCCGCTGGATGATGATGATATAAGATACGGCACTCCGGAACGGAAGACGGCGGACAACCACCGAACAGCGGCCGGAACTCCTTGAACCACCCACCCACCAACCGCCGCCAGTGGCGGTGGTGGCCCAAAAACTAGTTCAACGCTGAAACAAGACGCAGGCAAAAACAAAAAGCCCAGGGAGAACAAAAGCAAGAGCCGCATAAAAAATAGCCAAGCTGAACGTACACTCGGGGAAACACTAAGTGTCCTTTGGGAAAGGACTTGATTCACTGATTAGATTAACAGATTTTTGATGGCTAACATTTTGTAGATTTGAGAGATAACTGAAATGCAATTCATAGATATTTGTAGCGTTGGAAAACACCCTTAAAATATGCATAAAGATCTATATTTTCTAGGTGATGATTATGTTTAAAAAAATAATAAAATATTTATTTACTCTCTATTTATTTTTGAGGATGAATCATCATACATTTCAAAAATATTCAATAAATAATATTTTGAATGAAAGTAAACCGTTATCGATTTTTAAAATCATTTGTTGTTTAATTAAAAATGAAAAAGTAGCAAAAAGAATTTTAATAAATACTCAATAATTAAAATCACTTAATCCTATCAAAATCATTTTTATGTCTGCATTCTTGTACCAAAATTAACTAGTACTATTGAAATTAAGCTGCAAGTCTATGCCTGATATAACTATATATATTGTACAATACTTTTACTTCCTTTTTCGTTGCTTTTTCGCTCAGTGCATGCAAGCGGCTATATAATGAAATGGCTCGGCTGCCGCAAAGGGAAATAGAGAAATATCATAAAAAATGAGGGGGGCTACAGCCAGCAGCAGCAGTGGTGGTGGTCAGAAGGGGTTGCCTCATGGCTGATGCCTGTTTGCTGGCTATAATTTGATTGTTTTGCGGCATAAATCAGACAAAAGCCACGCGCATTAGCGCAGCGAGCAGAAGCGCATAATCAAAGGCAAAAGGTGAACCAGAACCAAAACTCAAACTAGAACCATAAACTCAAACCAAAACCAAAGCCAAAAACCGAAACTGAAACCGATGGCACCGCAGGTGGAACGACCCAGCCCACCGGTTTACATAATGCTCGCAATTGGTTCCCATGCCCCACAAAAAAAAAAGAAACCAAAAATAAAAAAAAAAAAAGGGGAGTCCCCATTTTCCCCCGATGAATCGACGACCCCATAAATATGCATTTTGATTGCGAAGAGCCAAAGCCAAACAAATGTGCAGAATAATCAAAAACAAAAATAAGCACAGCAAGGGGCGAATGTGCCACGAAACAATGCATGAGATCAAATAAACAATAGTTCTGCGAACGAATTCCTGATGGTACAAATAACCCCATACCATACCACACCATTCCCCTTTTCCACTTTTCCTCCACTTTTCCCCACTTTTCCTCCCTTTTTTCATAACCCCCTTGCCTCACCAATTTGTATTTATTTCGCACTTTTCGGTGCCTGTCGGTGAGATGTAAACAAATAATTTCGTGCGTTTTTGCTGTTGTGAATGTTTGTTTGACTTACCGATACCGATTCCGGATCCTTGCCCCTTTTTCCTTTCTGCCACCACCGCCAACAACAACACACCCGCACAGTGCCACAGTGCCACACGCCCAGAATCCCAGCTACATGTCAACCGAAAAATCGCAATCTATGAGTTGCTGATAAATTGCGGGTATGGGGGATGAAACGGGGGGAATTCCGCGGGTGGAATCACAAAACTCCCATTCGCGATACGCTTTTCAAATATAACCGAAAAACGGACACACACAACGAGGCACAAAACACCGCAGAATATTTATCAAAAAACAGGAAAAAAAAAAGAAATCACAGAAAAAACAAATAGAAATCCGGCAGCAGCAACAACAATTGGGCAAACAGGGCCAAACAAACAAACGGCAGCAGCAGCAGCCAAGCAAATGTGAACTATTTATTTGTGCCACTCGGCGTCGGTCCACACGTCGTATGCGCAATGTTTTGGGGCGCAGTCGTTGCCGCTCGCCGCTCGCTGATTCCGAAGCGTTCTGCGTGCTACGTGCTACGTGCTCCGTGTCCGAGAATTTCTGCCCTCGCAGCGGCACAAGAATCGCAATCGGAATCGGAATCCAAAGAGGCAGCAGCAGAAGAAGCAGAAAAATAGCAGCAGCATCGCCACTTTGGGGGATGAAATACGAAAGCTTTTTCGTTGGCGTTGCCACCCGGAGTGGAAAGCTCCTTTAACCACCCCTTTTTCCATCAGATTTGTATTATTGTTTATGGGGAATGAATGCGCAGGTCTTGATTTATCTGGAGTTTCTTCAATTCGTCCATAGGTGGAGCAGCACCATCATATAGATATGAAAATATTCAAATCAACCGAAAGGGGTTCGAAATTGTACTTGAAAAGCTTGGGCGGTGGCAGGGTTAAAAAAATACTAAAGCTGAGGGAGTCAATTATTGGTTTTAAATAGTTTCCTAAACGAATCGAAACGTAGGTTTCTGGTAAATCATGGTTTAAAGATAAGGCTAACTTCACTTTGCTTTCGATTCAATATAAATTGATTTATTCAAATGCTCATTATCTAAGAATTATATAACGAGTATAATGAGGAATGATTAACCAATTTCATATTATTTTATAATAACTTTATGAATCACCTCTTGAATATTTGGTTAAATAGCTTGCATTTCCCATTTATTTTAAAATGTTTACCAAATAAAAATACTTTTTAAGTAATGTTTTTTTCTCTTTTATTCAAATAAGTTCTTGTTTGTTTGCTTTGTTTGTTTTTTCTTTCATATTTCACCTTGGTTGCACGGGTCTTTGCTTCACTTGCATCGGTTTTTGGTTTTGGTTTTGGTTTTCATTTAGTGTTCGAATCTAGGTTCGTATTATTTTGCAGCAACATCATACCTTGTGGTGAGTAAAAGTTGATATGATGTGGATTTGGCACACTACAAAGTAACTCGCAACCGAAGGCAAGTTTTTGCTCTCATTTTAAGTTCTTATTTCACTTTTATTTGCGCTTCTTTAACATGTGCTAATTTCTTTGTTTTGGTTTTGCATTTGCTTGCTTTGGGGTTTAGTTTCCATTTAGTTTAGTTTAAATTATCTTTGCGTATAATTTTACTATAAGTACATTCTGTTTAGTATTCGGTCAACATCATTGCGAAATTAGCAATTAGGAGGAAAAAAAATATATATATGTATTTATACATTTATATAGGAATTTACTCTAGACTCGTGGGACTCATTATGCGCTACCTTAAACTAATGTACAAAAATATCGGTAACTTAAGGACGAGCAATTTAAAATTTAAAATCAACAACGACAACAATCCGCGGTATTCAATGCAATATATATAGTACAATACAAATAGGTCATAATCGGTCATGGCGTCTCCTTTAAAAACAATTCTTTTTTTAAAATGATCCATATACATAATTGACTCACAGAGCTTTTCGTTGGCTGACAACAATTGAACCAAGAGTGAGTGGTACGTACGAAATCAGTTAGACATATACACATATATATGCTTTTTGGGATCGGGAATCGGGGGTCTATATAATACGGGTGCTAAGGGTTTATCGATGATTATATGACGGCTACCTCCTGGTCAATAACACTTTGCTTGTTATGGCATTATTATCATTTAATTTGCTAGGTTTTCCATTTTGTGTCTACACGTTTTTATAAAAAAGAGACAAAAAAACATTTTGTGGTCCCTGGCGTATGTAATTCAATTTAAATGTTTTTCTCCTTGGCATTCAAACTTGGCCTTCAACAAAGGAACCCAATAAACGAGTAAATCAAATTCTTATAGAGTTACTTCTGCCCGATCCTCTGGTTGTTTTTGTTTTTTGTTTTGCTTTTCTTTTTTTTTTTTTTTTGAATTACATAAGTGTTGTGCTTGTCGTTTGTCTTATTACATTTAGTTGGACTGCTTAGCTGGCTGTGACCCATTTAAGTTGTTGCATTTTTGTTTGTTTCGTTTTTTTTTTTTTTTTGGTTTGTAGATTACGTTTTTTGTGGTTTGAACCCATTTGAGAATTTGTTCCTTGAATTTCAGGTTTTGTTTCTTTCTGTACGTGGACTTTTAATAGATAAATCAACACTTTTCAAGGGAAAACAATGAACCTTCATGGACTAACAATTATTTAAAAAATTAAATGCATAATAGTAATCCATAATACAATTAATAATAGTTGGACATAAATGAATAATAAAGTAAATGTAAAGGTTTTCTTGCAAATAAAAATTTAGGAAAAATAAACCCATTAAAATATAATTTTTCCCTTGAAACAGTAATCATTTTAAATAGAAATCGGTACTTATCGATGTTTTTCAGTAAAAGTATCGATCAAGATTGATAACTACCTTACGTTTCCCAACCTGTAAAATAGCTATAGTGGAATAAGGTATCTGTGATTATCATCAACATCCTTCAATTTGTATACATGTGTAGGTGTGTGTATGTGTTTGTAGCTGTGTGTTGGCTTAGTGCGCTAAGTACAGTACGATAGTTATCGATAGCCAAGATAGCCAGTGCGATAGTAAGTAGCTTGAGTACAGCTTATCATCCTTTTTAGCGGCTAGTTGAAACTACGAAACTCTAGAGTTGGGTGTCTAACTTTTCTCTACGGAATCTATCGGCTGATTAGTGAGTGCGTCTAGGGCCTGGCTAGTAACTGTCTTTAGTTAAGCAATAAGTTCAGAGAGCAACGACAAAATCAAAACCAAAATCAAGAATCAATCAACAATCGTGTTCTTTTCCTAGTTTTCAGATAATATTTTGCTTTTTCTTGGGAGGAGCGGTGCGATTCGGTTTCGTAATGGATCCTTGAACGGCATTAAACTACTTAAGTGCTAGAGTTGCCATTCATTTGGCGAGATAATGTCTCTAGTTCAGAGGTCAAAGGGTCAGGGGTCAGGGGTCAGGGGCAAGGGTCAGAAGGGCAAGCGAAACCGAACGGATGCAGGGGCGTCGGGGAAAAGGGGACAGGAGGCTAGTCTAAGTTCTTTTCGATAGGTTCGACTAACGCTTAGATAGGCTTAACAGCTCGAAACGAGAGTGTTTTTAACAAGTAAATCGCTAATCTATGCATATTATAGGCTCTATATTTAGATATTCGTATGCAGGGTTTTGCTTTTTTGTTTTGTGTGTGTGTGTGTGTGTGTATTTTTTCATGTGTGTGTGGGTGTTTGTGTTCATCTTTTCGGAAATGGGTGTTGTTGGCCTGTTCTATTTGAAAACATTCATCCGAATCGGTTAGTATTTAAAACGTTTCTTAAATAGTTCTCTATATAAGTTATTAAAGCTTTCGGTTTTCATTACTCTAGTTCATATATAGATATATAACTATGTATATTTCTGTGTATATATGTACGTACTTAAAATATATATGTATATATATGTTCCATAGTCTCTAACAATAAGAGGTATATACATCTGTAGAGAGACCCACGCCCCCGCCGTTCACGAAACTAAACGAGAAACTGATCAATACGCCTAACTATTACGATTTGGGTTCGGAACGAGATCGTTTTCGAAATCGAGTTGATTGGGATGCAGATACAAATGCAGATTTCGTTACAGATAAAGATACGTACAAAATGAATAAGCATGCACATCGTGGCATGGACGTTTTTTAGGACGGTTTAATGTGGGAATTTTCTTCTCTCGTGCTATCTCGCTCGCACACATACACACTCTCACAGGGCCACACACACACACACACAACAATGCGAATTTAAACGAATTTCGAACGGAAGCGAGCAGGAAACTTTGGAATCGAGTGACCGATTTCTTGGGTGTGCTTGCAAACCATATACCTAGTAACCCGATCTTAAAGATTTTTACAAATAAAATAAAAATTTTCAATTGAAAACATAATAAACTCTATATAACGGACAACTAACGGACAAGTGAAATATTAAGGAATAAATTTAAGGTTATGGTGCACATATGATCCGAATTGAAAATTTCTATTAGTCTGTTTCCTATTTTTTATGTTTTATATGTTAATACTTCTATTTGCAAGGACATTTAAAAGAAACAACGGTACGGACAAGGACGCTATGTAAGAAAGCGAAATGAATTGGAACAAAATTGGAACAGGGGTGGGAAAACTCTCTGGCTATTTGTGTGTTGTTTTTCGGTTTTTAGTAGTAGTTGGTTGTTTCCGTTAAATCTACATTTGTTTTATATATATATATATATATATGTATATATATATCTCATTCGGGTTTTACATTATATATGTATATCTGTATATATATATAGAGTTTGGTTTTTGCTTTGGGGGATTCGTTAGGGCTAAACATATATAGAATATAGATCTATATGTCCTCACATCTCCGTAGTTTTTGTATATCATATACATATATACCTAGTTCTTGTACCATGGTAATACTGTCCGAATTCCATTGCTTATTGGTTGTCCGCTTCTGGTTGGGATTCGAATGGGAATTATGATGGGGATAAGGATCGGGATCGGGATCGGGATCGGGATAGAGATCGAGATCGGAATTGAGATCGGAATCGGGTTAGTTTTGGTCGTGATTATAGTTCTCAAAGCTTGTCTTTATCACGGTCGATGCTCATTGCTTTAAATATTCCTCGTCCGATTCCATAGCGCAGATTGAATTGATCCAAGCTGGAGGCCCTCGGTCGCTGGCTTCCACTTTGGTGGCCAGCGGAGGTGGACCCGCCTCCTCCACCAGTGGAACTAGAAGCGCCTGTGGATCCCTGGGGATCCATTGAACCACTCGCCGATCTGGCCAGCTGCTCCTCCATGTCCGTTTCACTGAACTCCGTTTCCGTGTCACTGAACTTTCGGCGTCTTCGCAGAAAAGTGCTGCAGTGCTTCAGCTCGCCGAGATTATCGGATAAGGAGTGACCACGTTTCCGCTCCTGCCTTTCCATTTCAGCAGCCAACATTTGGACTTCCCAGTCGTTGTGGCTCGTCCTTCCACCGCCGCCTCCATCATCATCCTCATCCTCATCCTGCCTGCGATTTCTGCGTGCCAGCATATCCGGATCCGGATCCTCATCCTCCTCCTCATCGTCGTCGTCCTCCACTTCGGCCATGTTGATCTTACTGGACGAGGAACTCGAACTGGAACTCTCGCCAATGTCGAGGATCACGCTGTCCGATAACCTCGCCAGATTTCCAGTAACATCCGACACCATGACGCCACTACTAGATCCACTTCCCAGGTTGTCCACTCCGCCACTCCATTCCCGGTAGCCACTGCTGCTGCTCCGACCACTGCGTCCGTTTCCCTGGCCGGAGTAGAAACTCGGGTGGCTCTGGGCGTGCCGGGAACTCAGGGATCCTGGTCCTCCGTAGTAACTACTTGGACAATTCAGCGCATTCGCCGATGCCGCATGGTGGCGACTCGGACCCGGTGATATACTCCTTCTGCCTCCCTGGATCGGCGGCGAGGAGGTGAACACCGTGTCCAGGGAATCACCGCGCTGCAATACGGGAAGGAATAGTTTTAGTAAAGTGTTTAATCTAAAAATAATATAATAGCAAGGGAAGGAACAGCTTTAGCAAAATATTTACTTCTCAACTATATTTCTTCTATACTTATTTCTTAATTAAACCCACCATGAACAGGAGCTCTGCGGAGGATCCAGAACTGCTGTTGTCCTCCTCCTCGGGCGGCTCGTCGTCGTCGACGGACAACTGGGACATCTTCTCGCGCTTCTGCCGCCGACTGAGTGGCAACACCAAGGCGGATGAGGAGGTGGACGCCACCGGGGCCACCGAGGATCTGCCCTCGATGGAGCGCAACTTGAGCTGCAGCTGGGCGATGATGGCATCCCTTCGTCGAACTTCGCCGGCCATGCTGGAGAATTGCGTCTCGAACTTCGAGTGCATTTCGTTCATGTGCGTCTTGATCACGTGATTGATGCCGTTGAGGATCTGATTGAAGTAATCCTGTGCCTCCGGAAAGCCTTTAAGTGCAAAACATACATCATTGTGAGTACGGGGAACGGTTAAGATGGAACAATAAAGGGGGGTACAGTTGTGTCTGGCGAAAAGTGGTTCTCTTGCGTTTCGGGTGAGAGGACATTCAATAGTATTTTCCAGAGTTTAACTACATCAAATTAGGCTGTGGGTGTTAAAGCGTTTTTAGCACTAAATACTTGGGTTATCGTACTCTGAATCAGTTACGTGTCAGCTTTAACTAAGAAGTACAGTTGACTCCGAGGAACGAAGCTCAGAATACCAATGCAGATGTTTAGTTGAGAGGGTAAGATGAAGTTTTTTTTTACAGAATCAGACAGAGATCAGAAGTGTATAAGGCAACATTTGCATTGGCATTGATACATACGTACATCGTCGACAATTATTTACATACGCCACGCACATTCTCATTCCCATTACCATACAAGTGTTGCACCGGCTCCTCGAAAAGCTCAGCTCAGATCTCTATATAGTTTAATATATATACAGGATCGTGTTCTTGGTGGGTTTTTTTTTGTGTAAGTATGTACAAAAGCATTGGCAAAGTGTGAGTGTGGGTTCTGTGCTGGTATTAGTTACATGCTCTCAAGGACTTAAGCATCCATCATGGCGGCTGTTTCATTCCATTTCGTTCCAAATGCGTGCGTGACTGTACTTCCGCACACCAGCTGAAAACCTTTTACGATCTAAGCATATAACCATATGACTACCATAATTTACTTATTTTGACTTGAGCATTTCTTTTATTTTTGGGTAAAACCTTGAGGAGGTGTGGGTAAACTCAATAATCAGAGGACTTTAAGGAATACATTTTACAATTACTTTCACAGAATGATAAATGTTTATTAAAAAATGTTTTTAAAGTTAGTTAAGTAAATGGACGTAAGGAAAAAGTTTTAAAAATATCTAATGGACATTTTTAAGCAGTTATATATTTAAAAAGCGGAATACAAGATTATAACTTTATAGAAGAAATATATACATTGAAAAACTTTATAATAAAGTAGTAGTTTATCAACGAATACAAGGGATAATTTTACTTGCTGACACAAACAATGGAAAGAGTTTTTAAAATTTGTAGTAAATTATTTGTAGTTATATATTTTAAGTGGGACTTTTTATATTTTAAAAATATTTCGTTGTTTTCTGGATTGTTTACAGTTTGTTTTTGTTAAGCGTTTCTATCATGCAAAGAGTTTTATTAAGTTTTAGATCAAGGCGAAGGAGGAAAGTTTCCAATCGAAAAGGAGTTAGAAAAAGCAAGGAGAAAGCGAGAGAAAGTTTGTATTGTGACTGGCACACATGCACAGATTTTTGTTTGAAGTGTATTTTAGAAAGATGCTCAAATAGAGAGAGATAGATAGAGTTACAAAGCGTGTTTTTTTATACTTTGTCATAAAGTTGATTTATGGAAAGTGACAAGCGTTGCATTGCTCGTGTTCTTGTTCTGGTTATAGTGACTATGTGTGAATATATATTCTCGATCTGAAGCAGATATATTTACCTTCGAGGCGTGGCCCTTGACCCGATCCACCCAAAGTACTGCTCGTGTTTTGTCTGAGCTGCAAATTCAAATTCAAATCAGTGGTGGATTGCGCATGTAGAATTTGATTCGACGACGCGGATTTGCACTCAACGACATACGATGCGGATGCGGATGCGGATGCCGATGCTGATGCGGATGCGGATGTTGCAGCTGTTGTGGCAAGAGCAGCAGCTGATGATGAAGTTGCAGCTAACGGTGACGACAACGCTGATGCGCTGCCAACGCTCAATTCGCCGGCAAATGGAACGTAGCTCTCTTGCGGCGAATTCGTGGGCGTTACCAACGTCAACGTCGGCGAAACCGAAACCGGAAACGGAAATTGCCCAACCGATGGACACGTATACGCCCCGTTGCCATTGTTCTTGTTATTATTATTATTATTATTACTATTATTATTGTTATTATTATTATTACTGTTATTATTGTTTGAACGCGAATTAACGGAAGCACTACCGGTGATATTTATTGTACCGCTCGTACCGCTTGTACCGCTCGCCGCGTTTGCGATTGGGCAACCGTTATTGAATGAACCGTTACTCGCCGCTGCCGCACCACCGCCGTAGGAGGGCGACTCCTCAGCGGCAGTGGAACAAGTGGCGGGCGGGCTGGAAAGAGTGGAATGGAAGGTTACACTCTTCAAGAGCTTACTGTGCCTAGCCACGTACCCTTCCACGGTGGGCTCCGCCGGCAGGCCCTGCCCGCCGCCTCTGACCTTTGACCCCATATCCTTATCCTTATCCTTATCCTTATCCTCCTCCGACTTCTGTGACTGCCCGCCCATTTGTAGCTTTTTTAGTATGCTCTTCAGCTTGCGACGCTCCATGGTTTCATTGGATTCGGGACTTGGTGGCAGGGGAACATATTGCATTTGCCGCGAATTGCTATCCGATGCCGATGCGGATGCGGATGCGGATGCTGAAGCGGATGCAGATGCCGAGGCGGATGCGGATGCAGAAGTATTCGTAGATATCGATGCGGAACTGGTGGTCGATTCGTACGTGCTGAGGAACTGCGAGTAGATGCCGGAGGTATCACTGTAGCAGCGGTACAGTGACTCCGTAATGGGCACCTTGCTATCCGTTCCGGATTTCGAGCAATCCAAGCTGAAGCTCCGCGTTTGGAGAGCTCTCTCCAGTTCGGCGAGCTTCTGTCGCTCGTTCAGGATCTTCAGACGCTTCACGAAGGGCAGGCCGCAATATTCCGGCGAGAGATCAAAGACACTCTGGTAGAGCTTCCGCCTTCCATTTCCCCCGAGTTCAGTGAGTTCTCCATCTGGCAAATGCTGCTCGGGTTTCTGGAGTCTCAAGCAATCCCGCTTAGCACTGGCCAACTGATTCACTTGGCTTCCAGTGGCACTCAATAGAGATTGCTGTCCTCGATGTCCTGGCTGCACAATTCCCAGCTGCTGTTGCTGCTGTAGATTTTGTTGCGTGTGATGATGGTGGTGGTGGTGGTGATGATGTCGCGGGGATCGGGAACTGCTCCTCGCACTGTGATGTCTCGGTCGCGGATGCGTCTCCATCTGCTGGGGAATATTGCTCAGCGAGTAGTTCTTCAGCGGCGAGGAGGTCAACTCATCGGGAGAACAATTGGTGAGACTCGTGTAACTGGAGGACATCAGTGTGGCCAACTTGAGCTTGGACCAGGGTTTGATGGGCGTTCCATCGGTATCCGTATCGGATTGGAGTGGCGTTGCCAACCGGTGAGCACCACTTGGCTTGATCACCCGCTTCGATATGGTGGCTATTCCAGCGGTGGCACTTGCCGCCCCACCACCCAAACTACCCACCGAACTCAATCCCAATCCAAGGGCAGTGGAGCTCACTGGATCCTCGGTTGGCACTCCGTGCTTGGCCACCAAAGGCAGCGATTTCGGTGGCTCCTTCTTGGCAATGGCTCCTGTACTTGCGGCTGGCGAACCACCACCACCACCCACTCCCTGGAGCTGTTGGATCTTCTGCTTGAAGGACACCTTCATGATGGGCTTGATCTGGGCCACCGTCAGGGATTGTCCTCCAGGAGCCGCAAGTCCTCCGCCATTCGAGCCGGGAATCATTGATTGGCTGGCTGCGAAATGCGAATCGATCTTGCTGCTGATGTTCGGCGGCGTGTTGACCTGGTTGGCGATTTCAGCGGATTAGGTTCGGGTTTTCGGGAAAAGAGAGATGGTTTTGGGCGGATTAATAGAGCATCAAGGAGCAATGAATGATCAGTCTTCTTCTCACACTCCTGCTTTCATATTTCAATGGTTACAATCATAAAAATGTCTGTGTAAACTTTGGTAAAACCTTTTTGTTGTGAAATTGAATAGTGATAAATTTGTCTTGAAGCTATTCTTGCAAATTGGGAAGATGTTTAATTTTGTTAACTAATGCCCGAGTTAAATTTACTTATTGACTCATTTCTAAGTTCAACGAGAGTTAATAGCATAACTGTCATTAAAAAAATTAAATAAGAATATTACGAAATAAGGTTCCCTCTAATCTAGGCGATTTATTTAATTATTAATTAATTAGCGGAGAAAAAGGAGTTCTAAAATAATATCGCTTAGGTGCAAAAACGGGAGCCTCACATTTTATAAAGTAAAACCAAGCTTTTCAAAAAGTAAATATCGATGAACTTGTTTTTACTTTACTTATTTATATTTTTAAAAATATAATAAAAGTATATAAGCGTTATACTTATATGAATATATATACTCTATATGGCCATTTTGTTTTTGCACCTAGGATTTATTTTTCTGAATTATGAAATCAGTAATAAAAGGCTAAAGTAAGCTAACTACCATTTTTTAAAATGGGTATGTGTCTATGCAAGTTTTTTCCCTCAAATGTGAAACCCTTGAAACAAAGATCATAAGAATCAACCTAGAATGGGGAGTTTCTCAATCTGGTTTCTATATCTGGTTGTAATCGATTTCAGTGTGTGGTTTTCAAGTAGCTTTACCATGACGAGGCCGGGTTGATCGGCGGCAATCGCCTGCTGCGGCTCGTTCTTTATTTTCAACTGCTGCAATCGCTGGATCAGGGAAAGCCTTCGCTGAACTCGCGTTCGGGCTCCTCCTGGATCGATTCCTGCGGCGATAACGTACACGTTACATGTGAGTGAGGTGGAGATTTCTGTGGTGGTGTGGACTTAACAGCTCGCTCTTCGCGATCCTAGTGCAAGACACATAAAGACACATACAAAACTACTGTTTAGGAGCTGGGGATAATTACATACAACACGAATATCTGCAACTTTCGGGCGGTTTTTAATCATTTCGAAAGCTAAACCAAAATCAAAAAACGATAAATGCAGAACAAATCATGATTCAAGTGGGCAATGTCAGCGATTGTGTCGTTTGTTTTCTTCTGTATTTTTTTTTATTGGGGTTTATCTGTTTCTCTTATTAAATTTGTAAACCAGAGAATCCAGTATCCTTTGGTAAATTAAGAGGGAAGAATGTGTCCTTGTTTACTAAGCGGTAGCAGGGAACTATTAAAAGCAGCTAGTTAAGTTTAACATCGGTTACAAAATATCACAGAGAACGGGCAAACATTAAGCCATTTTCATTTCTATGGTATGGATTTTCCTAAAAAAATATTTAAGATTAACTAGGGTTCCTTTCTATAATATTGAAAATTTCTATGGCAAATTTATTTCTAGAATTATTTTAGATAAGTAAGGGGTAAGGGGTTTCCCCTTAGTTGGTTTGTTAAATTTCAAAATATTATCTTTGGAATTTGTACAAAATTTGTTAAAAGCAAAACATTTTGTTTTTAGTTAAATATGGATACACTTTCTTCATCGAATATTTTGGCTATGCCAATCCTTTCTATCTATAAACAAGATTATATTTTCCATGAATAATATACAGTGGATAATCACTATAATTTGTTAAACTGATTTTCCTGCTTTGTTTATTTTTTACAACTTCATTTTTCAACTGGCAGTTGGATTGAATGAATAATTAAATTACGTGCTCGATTGCCATGACAAAGATCGTTGAAACTAGCACATATATTATATTATATTATATATCTTGGGTGGATCTGGAGGTGCACTAATAACTTGTACAAACTGCATTACAATGGAGTCGAAACAATGTACACAAATGCAAGTGTGTGTACGTGAGTGTGTGTGATTTAGTGGTCGTCTGTATGAGTGTGTATGTATGTGTGTGTGTCTATAAGTAATCAGTTTCTCAGATAAAACAGGCTTCAATCTGTTTTTCCATTAGGCTGTTTGTATTTCTGTGGGTTTCGTGTGGGTTTATGGGTTTGTTTTTTCTTTCTGTGTGTTTTTTTTTTGTGTTTTTCCATTTGTCAAGCTTTGCATTCAATGCTCTGTTTGTCTGCTTGTGGCGAAAAACCATTTAAAGCCTTGTGGGTGAATTGTGGGTGTGATTTTGGTGTGTGGTTGTGAGTGTGTGTGGTTGTGAGTGTGTGGAAACCAAAGTCGAGCAAAGGTGAGAGTGGTTTCGATAAGGAAAATAAAGAGAAACCAAGGTAGCTGTGTGGTTTCTGCTGGGTGACTCTTGCTGGTGACACATCCTGTGGCTTCTGCCGCAGTTCGTTCTTTTTTTTCTGAGTGGGTTAACTCACCTGTTTCTCCTTGAGGAGCCGCAGGCGCTGCAGCAGCGGCAGTCCCGCTCCAATCGGACTGGGCGTCTTGTCGTGCAGCTCGTCCTTCGCCTCCGCGCTCTCCGCATCCTTTTCGTCCGATCGCACGCGGGACATCCGCTTCAGCAGGATCTTGCTGCCGCGCGGCGAGGTGTTGTGCAGCGGCTGCATCTCCAGCGACTCGTCGCTCTTACGCGACGTCCTGAAGGGAAAATGAATCAAATTAATTCATGAAATACAACTCTTGAGAAACTTAAATGTGCGAAAAGTACATCCCAATATCTGTACTAGTAAAAACAATAAAAATCTTCGTTTTTTAATTAAAACATTATACTAATCTAATCGATGAAGTAGCTTGAACTGTTCACGGAAAAAGAACTTTAAATTTGTAAATAAGAAATTAATTCAATTCCAAAAATTTTAGAACTTTTTCTTTCGTTTATATTTAAGATAAAACCGCACCTGGACTTTTTGAGCACATTCCGAAATCCCTTGACGTCGTGCTTCAGCTTGTCCACGATCTTCTTGGAGGCACTGTTCTCGCTGCTGTCGCTCTGGTGCACCTGACCTTGGTGGTGACCTTGGTGGTGGTGTGGGTGGGCCGCCGCATAGGCCGCCGCCTCCTTGTCGCTCTGCGCCTTCGCGTACTTCTTGTTCACGCAGCGCACCTCCATCAGCCGCTTCCTGCCGAGCGTCTGCAGGATCTCCTGGGCGTCCGGATAGTCCTTCATGGCGGCCAGGACATCCTCGCGGGACAGGGAGAACAGCTCCGAGTAGCCCACGGATCGCACGTCCGCCGTGCGTCTGTTTGAAGGAAATAGAAAAATTATTATCAGTAAATAATATTAAAAGGGATAAATAAATGGAGAACAACACTATTCTTCAGTTAGCAAAAGAAAAAATGTAAATCAAAATAATATATTAATTAAAATGTATTAAAATATTTCATGACCCTAAAATAAAAAAAAAGAATTTAGACAAAGCGTTTAATCTAAAACTAATTTAAATGCATTTAACATAATACAAGAACAAAAAACAAAATATTGATTCATTTTACATTAGTTATTCTCTTCATTTGATTTGTACAGGTAGTACAAAAAAAAAAAAAAAATATTATACAGACCAAACAAATTAATAAATTTGTAAATAACTTGACATTAAATAATAATACATTTAATATTTATTTTATTTGATTGCAAGTATTCATTAAGCTCGACTCACTTGTTCAACCCATCGAGATTGAGGATGCCGATCTCGCCAAAAAAATCGCCGGCCTTCATGGTGGTGAGGACCTTGCCTGTTTCACTGAGGACCTCCAGGATGCCATCGGCGATGATGAACATCTCGCGGGCCACTTCACCCTTGCGGCAAATCGAATCGCCCGGGGTGAAGATGTAGGCCTTCATCTTGAGCACGAGATCGTGGAGGAACTCGGGCTGGCACTCTTGGAAAATGGTCACCTTCTTGAGGACGCTCAAATTGACGTGCAGGGCCAGTTCGGTTTTCAGCTTGTCGGGCAGAAGGCCGAGGGCGGTATTGATGTCCCCGCCCCCTTGGATCCTTCCGCGGGACCAGCTGTAGTCGTACCAGCGAAGCACGCGACGCTTCATTCCACCAGGCACCTAAAAAATATAATATATATATATACAGGAATATAGGTATTATATATATATATATATAAGTATAGTTACCTTGTGGTGCCGCATGTAAGTCTTGGCCCCGTCAAGCAGGCGCTCGAACTCCAAGCGATTCGCATTCCGGTTCGTTATCACATTGCCCACTTGGCCCACAATCGTGGCAAAGATAAAAACACCAATCAAATAGCTAACGATCGTAAAAATATATCTGCGAAAAAGGAATTCGGGGAGTGGCAATCAATTAGCAGGGCACAAAGTCAACGAAATTGGCTCAGAGGAAAAGAGGGTGGTTTAATCAAGGCGAATTCAATTAGAAAGCATTTTTGCAAAATTACTTTTAGAAACAAACTTCAAAGGGACAAATAGCTTTCATTCAGGATATCTTTAAAATAAATTTAAGAGTTCACTTTATTTGATATTAAATCAGATAATTTCTATAAGTAAGAATTATTTATCTTTGCTTCTATGTTCCTTACATTTTATTTATAGTTCAAATTCAGAAACAAATTTAACCTAAAATAAATTGTTTTGCCTCCATTACTTTCCTTTTTTCCAACCTTTTTCCCTCTGCCAAGAAACACTTTTTGCAAGCTCAATCAAAGTTTTCGAAAGCTCAAGATGAGTTTGGTATTTCATTTGGAATCTTTGCAATTTTCCTCTGCTGAATAAACAAATATCAATGGAACTGTTCAAGGCTGTCGCACGCTTTCGAAAACTTTGATGCCAAGCTCTTTTTTTTTTTTTAGGGGGCAAAATGCAACAGATAGATGGAGAATTATAAAACAAGAACACCAAGGCAGACGAATCGGTGGACAGCCCCCAAACAAATTGCATGATATTCTATTCGCTGGATTTGATTGACCTTGCTAGACTTTTTTATAAGGAATTAATTAGTGAATGTACCCATAACTAGAGCCGAATTGAAGCAGTCGCGATTTAATGCCACGCCGCGGAATTGATCGTGGGCCGTCCACCGAAAAGTTCGGTCTGATTGGTAAAACATCATAATAAAGATACATATAAATAATGACATTAAGTAGAATAAAACCCCATTAACCATTATTGAATCGTACTCACTCTGCATTCGTTTCGGGCGTGGGCAGATCCCCAATGGTCGTCAGTGTGAGGGTCGACCAGTACAGGCTGCCCAGGTACTTTCGGGTCAGGGTGGCATAGTCCCCGGGTCGATAAGGATACACCCAATCGCCCTGTTGCCAACAGAGGGTTAATAGAAAAGTTATTTTTACAAGTAAATATGTTATTTCTGTTCACTCATATGCTAGGTTCAAAATTATGCACTTTATGTTCAATATTTTATAAATAAAATATAAAAAAAGTTAGAATGAACTGGAAACATTTACTTCAAGATTAGTTACAGTTCACAAATAAATAAATTTAAGAAATAGAGTTTGAACTTTAATGTTTTAAAGCACAAGCGTTTGGTTGCGGAATATTTAATTTTTAACTTCGTAACCATGTTGTATACAAACGAAAAATCATATAAATTACCTTTAAATTAGTTTCACTAAAACTTAATTAATATAATTAATTAATAGTTGACCCACCTGAAAGCCCTCCGCCTCGGAGAGTAAAAAATAGAAACAACCGAACCAGTGTGCCAGTATCAACAGGATATGAATTAGGTTAACAACGCGCCATAAATTTGGCCAAACTGTTCTACTCTCTACGATGTAATAAAATCTCACAGATCGATAAACCTGCAATGGGTACACAGAGTTAGTATTTATGCTAATAATTTCCACTTAGTAACCGACTTTAAAAAAGCGCGTAAAACGCAAGAGCGGATGTGTGCCCATCTTGAGCTGCAGCAGATCCAATGGTATTAGCGCAATCATATCGAAGATAAAGTCGCGCGAGTGAACGTAGTGGCAGGCCAGCTTCCTGTCATCGTATACCTGAAGGATCCAATTATATATATCCGAACATATATCCTAATAAACCTTTATTCAGCACTTACCATTAGGCCCTGCTCCAGATAGCCTGTGCGTAATTGAACTATTATATCTAAGATAAATACAACATCTGTCATCGAATCGCAGATGAGCCAAAACGTGGGCACAGATTGCTATCCAAAAATAGTCCATAAAATCACAGAGAGAAAAATTAATATATTATAACCATAACTTGCAAATAAACATTAAATATTGTTACGCAAATACTTATAATTTAAAAACTAAATCTATTAAAAAACCACTGAAAGTTCACAGCTTTATTGAGTTTTTTAATGCTTAAACAGCTCTTAGAATGCAGTATTGCGGTTAAAATTGCATTAGCCAAGCTGCACTTACTTTCTGTGTAAAATGGAAACCAGCACTAAGTGAGAAAGGCCTTTCCAGGCCAGCTTGTGCGCCTATTTTTATGGCCAGGTCAAGGGCAATTAGGCCGGGAATGCAGTTGACAATTGCAAATGTGCGGGCTAAAAACAGGACGCGGCGAGTGGTTTCAACCGTTTCAACGACACAGGCTTTTGTGGCCGGGTTAAAGGTCACCGCAGACGACTCTTGTTTACCAAAGCGTTGCCCAGGCTCTAATCTGATGACAAACACCAGCTAACTGGGCCCATAAACAAACATTTGCCCAGGACCAACTGCGTGTCTTATAATTGAGTCATTACAAGGCAAAGACCGGGAGCAAACAGATAAAAAGCGGATAATTTTCGGTCAGCCGACAGGTGACCCGCGAATGCCCTTTCCCCCTAATTTCCTAGCTGTTTTTCTTTTTTCTATTTTCTATTTTACAAAGGGTGTAGGGGTGTTATCCCCCCGCTAAACAAAACTGGCAAGAAGAGGGTCATTATGGCCAGAGACCCAACTTCCATTACAACCAACTCTTTGAGCGTAATAACAAAGGGGTGTTGCCTTACATAAAAGGACGAACAAAGGCCTGACCGACGCCTTTTGAAGGGCAAAACGAGAAGTAGTAAATGGAAAGTGGATGTTCAAAGGTGCTAAAACGGGATGCTCAACAAAACAAAAAAAAAAAAATTAACTAGAAAACAGAAGAAAAACAAGGAAAGCAAGGGGAGAACTCACCTGCAGTTCAGGAAAGCTCTGCCTCACAATTAGGGTCCATAGATTATAAAGAACACATACAGTTAACATCATTAACCAATAGAAGTAAAAATTTTCATCTGGATTAACAACGGAACGTCGTTTCTGCAGATAGCGTCGCCGTCGTTTAACACTTTTGTCGACGTCACCAGAGGCACTTTCTGAACCCGTATCTTCAACAGTTTCCTGCAATCGAATAGGTTTAATTAAGCACTTAAGGAAATTCATCTAAAGCTTAATGAAAAATGTAAAATAGGTACAAAAATGTTGAAAGATTAAAAAAAAATTTCGAAAAATAAAACGTGTATGTAGCATGAATGTTTTATCTTTAAAATATGACAAAAAATCGCAAAAATTAGTTATAAGATTCTAAATAAGTGGAATCGTCAAGAAACCTATTTTTTTTTATTGAAATTGAACTTCGTTACCTGTGTTTCGGGTATCTGTCTAGTCGAGAAACGCTTCAGGAAGGAGTCTTCGCGCTTGAGCGGTGGTTTCTTCTGTATCGCCGACGAGATTTGCACGGTGGTGCGCAGCTTCATCCAGCGCTGGTTCGATCGTGTCCTGTTTTTCGCATGTGGGAGAGGGAAACCAATTAATTCGGTGTGTTCCGGATTTGAGTTTTCCAGGGGATTGTCTCACACAACTAACTACGGTGGCTAATGACTATTTGAAGGGTTTTTTTCCGGGGGAGTTTAAGGGGACTAGAGCGCAACTGAAAATATCATTCCAACTAAGCGTGCGCTCACGTTACTCGGGTGCATTTATAATTTAAGTTTTTTTTTTAGAACGTAATCACTTACGTAACACGAAACATCAAACACTTACGCTAGTTTATGATGACGGAGAGAAGTAAGGCTACGGGTAACGGATTACGGGTAACGGGTTACAGGTTACGGGTTACATAGTACGAATTACGGCTATGGTTACGCATACTTAGTGGCAAGACAAACATTCAAAGGAGAAACCCAAAAGAGCGTAACGCAAACGCACGCAACGGTAACGGTAACGCTAACATTAAGGTGAAACAGTAACGGAAACGCACAACGAAACACGAGGGAAAGAGAGAAAGAGAGAGAGATAGATAGATAAAGATAGATAGAAATAGATGAGGTATTTGTGCATGCAGATTACAGTTATACAAATAAACAGATATGTAGTTAAGGTTATAGTCCATTTACTACAAAAGCAAAATGTGTTCGAGGCGCAAACGAAATCAACTAAAATCGAATCGAATCGAATCGTATCGTATCGAATCGAATCGTAACATAACGAAACGAAACGAATCAAATGTAATCAAACGAAATAACAATCATAGGCGTTATGCAATCGACAAGAAATGAGGAAAATTGCAATTGAAAAACAATTTGAGCAGCAGCAGTAGAGCAGCGCAGCGAGACAGAGACAGCAGACAGAGCGAAAGACAGAGAGAGGGGAGGGGTGGAATAGAGAGCGGGGGGAAAAGTGGAGAGGGGGGCTCGAGTGGCCAAGAATTTTCCGCCATCGATATAAATAGCTCTTGGCCCCGAGCGAAAAGTGTTAAATTGTCTGCCAGGTGAGCTTTCCACGGCGAAACTAAAGAAGTTTCTCGCAATTAAAAAGAAAATTAAAACAAACGAAAAGTACGGTTTTCTCCGGCACTCCGAAGCTCAAGAAACTCTGGCAAACTTGCTGGAATTTATAATTTATTTAAATCGGTTGGGCAAACATCTTAAGCACTTTCTTAACTACGCCGAGAAAATGTTACTTCATTTGGCATATTTAATGGCCCAAAAATCTGCACAAGTTTTAACAAACAAAATTAATTTTAAGTAATTCAAACTAATTTTAAATCCGCACTGCAAAATTGAAATACTTTTTAAGGACAATCAAAGCGAAATCTATACTTTCAACTAAACAAGTGATTTAAAATCAGCAGTGGTATTTGCGTTCGCCGAGAACACACATTAATCACACTTAATGTTTCGAAATCATTTATAAAGCTTAAAGAGCCGAATTCGTTGAACTAAACCGTCATCAATCAATAACAATGGGTATTTTGTACTCGTACCTAAAAAAAATACGAAAAGCGGAGCAAAGTTAAAGGTGCAACTCGCAATTATTCCTCAGATACTTCGATTTGCCGGAGTTTATCTACGATTGCTACGAGTGTATACGAACTCGATCTAGGGACTATCGTACGACTACGTGGATGGGGGGAAAATTCGGAAATTGTGGGGAAGGGACAAGGAAAATCCGGGAAGGGGATTCAGGTTTTACCACTTTAAACTTTTGCTCAAGCCGCTCAGGGTCGCCATTCATTCGTCTGTTCTGCTATAGCATCTAGTACTAGGTGTTTATTTGCATGATGTACACAATGGATGTGTCTAATATATATATATATATCTATATATACATTGCTTATGTACAGTTCGATTTTTTGGGGGTGTTGCTGATGCGTTAATTGATTTTGGTTGGGCTTAATTTATGCACAATTATTATTCGCATTCAGCATATCAAATGCCAGGCTACGAAACAAATGTTGTTTTTTTTTCTTTTTTTTTTTTTCGTTTAAGGTTTGCTTTGTTTTAATTTCGGTTTTTCATTTTTTTTCAGTTTGTTTGGTTTTCAGTTTGTTTATTTTGATTTAGCTAGTTTTCATTTGGTCTATTTACAGCGGTGGCTAAATTATTACGCATACGTCGTGTGGTACACGATGAGGTACGAAAAACGAAAGCGATTTGGTAGCAATGCAGTTAGCTAAACGAAAGACAAATCAAAGGAAAACAATGATAGCTATAGGTGTGGTTGCCGTCAGTGTGTGAGTGTGAACTTGTGGTTGTGGGTGGTGTACTTTTGGGTGGTTTTCGGTGGTTCGGTGGGTTGGTGGGTGGTTGGTGGGTACCTAGATTTTGTGGCTTTTTACAGGGTGTGAACTAGTGCCGAACCTTCGGCAAGTGTCTCTGTGTATTTGGTGTGTGGTGGAGCTGCGGTTTTGGACCTCGGCTCTTTGCAACGCCAAAACCCTACTCTATATGTACTATATACGTTCAAATAGATATATATATGTAATATATATGTATATATCTTGCTGTTTTGCGGCCTATTCAAATGCAAAGCGCGCACATGCCGATCATCGTCAGTATTAACATCATCAGCATGACCATAATCATTATAATCACAATCATAATCAAATCAAAAGCAGAACAAAGCTATGCGTATCTGTTGTATCTGTGTTAGTGTTAGTATTTGTATTAGTGTCGGTGTGTGGGTGTTATCTGTATTCTGTATGCGTATTAGTGGGCAGAGACAAAACCGAGAAATCATAAGGAACGCAAGAGAATAAACTTACCAATCGGAATCTGGATCTGAAGCTCCATCTCCGATACGCGATTTCCTAAACGAGTTTCGAAAGTATTTCATTTTCTTTTTGTTGTTTTTTTTGGCTATTTTCTTTTGTACTTTTTATTTTTGTTTTTTTTTTTTTTTTTTGTTTAACATATTTTTGTTTTGTATTCATTTTGTTTGATTTAATTTGTTTGGTAATGTTTTCGAGGAGGCAATAGTAAGAGAATTTGATAGAAATAGATTGGAAAAAAACGAAGAGAGAGAGAGCGAGACAGAGCGAGGGGGAAGAGTGGGTGAGAAAGACGCACACACACGCACAGATAGAGACACACACACACACACGTATATATATGTTACAGGGTAATACGGGCCCCCTTTTAACCCATCACTGCCCATTCCCAAGCCAAGCGGAAAAAGGCTTTCTGCACGATAAGATTACCCCGGTCTATAGTCTATATATACCACATCCATTACATAAATACAAGGGCGCAGGTAAGCGTTTGTACAAAAAAGGGGATTTGTTAAATTTTTGTTTGATTTGAACATAATTAAGTTTACAATCTGAAATATTGCAATGCTAAAACATATTTTAAAGTTGATTTAAATCAATTAAAAATGCCTACAAGTTTAACCCTTAAATTAGGTGATTGGCAGTTTTAGTTAATCAGAGATTAAAATCCAACCGAACAAATATTTCACAATATTACATTTACTTGTAAAATATTTAAAGTAACAAAATTACGACGAATGTCTATGAAGTTCAGTTGGGAACTTTAAATATTTATTTATATCCCTTTTTCGTATCTCACATTAAATACAAAAATACACCTACACCCCTGAATATTTGTATATAAATGCGTGTACGTGTGCGTATATCTGTGGATGACCCCATTGTTGTGTTGTTTTGGGGTCAGCTGAACCATTTGTGGACTTTCGATTTAATATAAATTGAGAATGAGCTTGTTAGTTTTGGCGCTTGCCAATTCCCCGCTTTTCCCTTTTTCCCTTTTTCTCGTTTCTCGATTCTCGTTTTTCGATCCAATTCGATTCGGGTTCGAAAAGGTTAAAGAGCTGGGCCCCCGGTATTAAATGGCATTCTTTATTGCACCACAAATCATTCAGCGAAATGTTAAAGGACTCTCCTGTTTTTCGAGTGTGTATGTGTGTGTGTGTTGGTGTTCGTTGTGTTTGTTTGTTTGTTTGTTGGCTCATGTGTGGTCGGCTAAAAGTGTTATTGTTTAATGGCTGCATGATGTCCGATTTGGTCCGCCTCGGGTTAACCGGCGATTCGGTTCCTAAGCCGGATTTCAATTAACGCCTCTGCTCGATTCTCGGATCCCGGGCTACCAGTTTCCCAGTTGGCAGTTCCCTGTTTTTGGTTTTCGATTTTCGTTAGTCGTTTCTCGGTTTGCGTATTACGTTTTTCGATTTTTGTGGCCATTGAGGCCGCAGGCCGTGACCGTCCGGAATGCTAAACCATCATCGCCTCTGGTTTTGCTACGCCACTTGACTGACTGGCCGCACATGGCAGATGAAATAACAATTGAAAAATTCCGCCGAGTCATTTGGCCAAACGTTTTCCCAACCCCCCAATCCCCCAAAACCCCCAATCCCCTATCCCCCATTCCCTCTTCATCCCCCATTGGGTGTTAGAATTTATGAACGCCTGGGGGACACTTCACACCCACAAAAGTATGCTACACTTTTTTCGCTAGCCTGATTTTGAAACGTGCTCAGGATGTCACGGCAATCGACGGATGCGTTCGAAGTAATTGTAGCTCGAAAAATGTATTAATCATCATTTTTGAATAGCTATTCCGTTGTTAAAGCTGACTAAATATAAAACATAACAACTTTTACTCAGTTTCTACTTTTAAAATTACAAGTTGTAAAATGATAATTTGTTAAACTACTCATTAAAACAGCGTTAATTAATTTCTTTTGTTCTCAAGAACTATATTTTATCAATTCTTAAAGCCTTTCAGTTTCAACTCGTTGTACAAAATTCCCTTAAAAAAACAATAAAGTACGCACATTACATAAAAGCGCCTGATAAAAGTTTAAAACGCACCGAAAGACATTTCGTTGGCAATAAAACCAGACACTTGCTCGTAAATTCGCCTGACTGCCGACTTTTTTGCGACACCCTGCCAGCGTGTACGAGTATGTGGCTTATTAGCCATGGCTAATACCCCAATTATTTGGGTCATCCTAGTTAATGAGCAACTTGAGCTGCTGACAATGCAATAAAGCCGAAAATATCGGACGGCCAACGGATGTGAGCCGCATTCGAAGTGCTTGCAAATCAAAACACAATTGCCGGATCGAACAAATGAATTTGATTGCGAATCAGAGTTGCTTGTAAGGGAATTACCTAACCGCAGGCCTAGGGCACAAATTTTAAGGGGAGTCGCCTGGGGCGTTTGATCCTAGGAGGCCTCACTGTGCCGCCGCCACATGCATCCCCTTTTGGCTTGCCAAAAAAAAAAAACAAAAAACCAAACGGAGAAAAAAAGTAGATGGTGACATCCAATCGGAGCAAAGAGGGTGCATAAATTCTAGGTTACCATTGAGTGTATTGTGTTCACTTGGCTTCTACATAAATTTGCAATTTTCTAAATTCAAATTCTTTGTAAGTTGTCAGTCAGAAGGCAATTTCCCATTTTGCATGCACAATGCCAAAGAGTAAGTGGGCGGTGGGCGGACTTTTGTGGCATTGCCATATGCATAGGCGCAGTGTACTGAGTCTGTGCCAGTGGCGTACATTCTGTTTTCTCTGGGGGGAGTTCAGAAACTAATAACAAAGCTCCCCTCGAAGTTGAAATAATAGTTTTAATTACTTTAACAACACCATTTCAATTAAATACCTTTCTTTTTTTGTGGGAAAAGGGGATAACAATATTATACAGATATTTTATATCTTATAGCGTTTATTGTTTGAATAAATACCTATTTTATTTAAACTTTATTGTTTGTACCCCTTAAAAAAGCTTAAAAGAATTCTTTTTAATATTTTATATGGCCTTGGAATTCATTTATTATAATGTTGATTTCACTTATTTTCCACATCTACTAAGCCACTTATTTTGTTTTGGGAGGGGTTCAAAACCAGTAGCATACGCCACTGTGTCTCCTCTTCTCCGTGTGTGTGTGTGAGTGTACAAGTGTGTGTGCTGGTGTATTTGTGTCAAAAGTTCGCCTACATTGCAGTCAGCAGCTTAAACATATCGATTCAAACGCACACTGACAAAAGCCACTTTAACTTTGGCTGTTTGCTGAGATTTTTCAAGCAAAAGTTCTCCTTACACCCTTAAGTAACAGCATATGTGTGTGTGTGTGTTTAAGAGGGTGTGTGTATGTGTGTGTGAGTAAGTGCACGTGTGTGTGTCTATGTGTGTGTTGGCATCAACTTGTTTAGCTGGGGCAAACTTTTTAAGTTGCCCTTTGCCAAAAATGAACCGAAACTAGAACAGAAAGTGGTAAAATGTATACCCAGCCAAGACACCTCTTTCCCCTAATTTCTGTTATTTTTTCCAAGGACGGGGGGTGCCTACAGTGTTACCTCCCCCTGGAAGACCATGCCTAGATAACTCTATGCATATGGCTAATAAATGTTAATTCCCGTAAAATGCTTCTCAAGACTTATTAAATGGGAAAAGTTGTCGTCGTTGGAGGTCGAAAGTCTTGGGAAAGTTTTCTTGATAAGCGAGGCTTAACTGTAGAGTGAAAGAGAGGGGGCGATAGACACAGATCTGGAGCAGAGAGTGGGAGCGGGATAGAGAGTTTAGCGAACGGGCGAGCAGGCGATTTTTGAGTTGAGTTTTTAAGTTCAGAGTTCAGAATTGATAATTGATAATTGGTAATTGAGAATTGAGAGAGAGGTGTGGCATTCGCTTACACATCAATGATATATGGGTTACATATTTAGGTTACACATAGGTTCATACACTACGTTTTCGGATTAGTACGTTGTTAGAGCGAGAGAGCATGAGACAGAGAGGGGGAGAGTGAGAGTGAGAGAGAAAGAGAGAGGGCGAGCGATCGATGAACGTTAGTGGGTGGGTTAGTAGTACACATCGATTATTTTGGGGGCAGATCGAGGACTTCGCTTTCGGTGGTGGTGATGCGAAATGGCAAGAGCCAGGATTCTCTCTCGCACACACACGCACTCGCACGCAAAGAGAGATTATACACACACACACATATATAAATAAATGGGGATGCACAGAGAAAAATCACTGCGATATCGGTTCCATTTGGACGCCTTTCGTTATCTTTGGTTGATCTGAAATTCTTTCAAAAATGATATGGGTATCTTAAAGTATTATTTTTTGTGTCTGAAAGAATGCTACTAAGTTTAGAAACCCCAGTGATTATTTTAAAGATCTACGATTTAAAAACAATTATGTTTACCTATCCCTTACCAAAAACATAGATTAGAAAATTTCTAAAAATATAAATAAATCTATACTTAGTTTTATAAACTGTAATAAAAATGTCAAAGATATCAATTTTATGTATAAACTAATATTTACTATACTTTTTAATTCGCTATAGATTTTTTTGGAAAACCAAAAAGAAAATGAGTATCTACCTTATAAATGAATATAGCTTTTAAGAACTAATATGGTTTTAAACACTTTGCCATCTAAACTTCTTGAATTTGTCTACGAAAAACAACCAAATGGATGGCCAATTTCGGTGATGTATTTTTTCTCTGTGCAGTGATTGGTTAGTTAAACGCTAGCAAAACGCGAATGCGCAAATACGTAAATACGCAAATACGTGAATACGCAAATACGTGAAATATGCAAATACGGGCACATTGATAACGGTTTTTTGTTGGGTGGCAACGTTCCTCTTGATGCGCCGCAGCGAACAGTAGTAGGCCATCACGGCCCTCAGACTCTTCCACTTCGTTGTCTGCTGGCCATTCCCAGTGGCATTCCGGATCTCATCCCGATCCAGATCCCGATCTCCATCTCCATCCCGATCCCGATCCTCTGGTGCCAGCGAAGTGGAAAGCTCCTCGGGATGCTCGCTGATGAACGAGGCGAGTGACTTGGTGGCGGGCAGTGACCTTTGACCTTGACCCACTGGCGTGCTGGCACTCTGATCGGAGGACGGACTGTTCACATGCAGGCGCACTTGACGCCGCTGACGCGCCTGATGCGGATACGGATGCGAATGCGGATGCGGATGCGGATGCAGATATGGATGCGGATGCGGTTGTGCCGGCGTCAGTATAAGTCTATCCCTCTCTGTATACCTTAAACTAGTGGTGGTGGTGCAGCCACAGTGGTGCAGCTGCGAACTGGCCAGCGATGAGCTGCCGGATCTATATATATGTATATACACTTGTATTCAAGATCCGATCGAGCGATGCGAAAGGTGGATGCTCTGGTTGTAACATGCGATTAACCAAAAATTCGGGACACGGCTGCCACTTGGGTTTTATTTAATATTATTTAAATAAATAATGCTTCCATTTTCAAGAACATTTGCATCTAACAATATCATATTCAAGTTTTAAATAAATTATTTAATTTAATTGATTGATTGATTTTAAATTTGAAGTACTTTAAATTTTTTACTATTTGTTCTTCAAAAATTAAAGTTAGATTTATATATTACCCCACTTTAATAGCTTTCTCATTTAAAATATGTTGCTTTTATATTTTTTAAATGTTTTGAATTGGCTTGCAATCAATTATTTTATTTTAATCTCCCTGTCAAACAATTATCTTCAATAAATATATTTGATATGGTATGTATTTACGGAAGCCTATTAAATCAGTTTTAATAATTTCTTCTTAAAAATAAGTAGGCGAAATTTAGCAAAGGCCAAAATGGAAGCAAGATTTGATTACTCTGGATTTGTTTTATTTTTTACGGGGGCAATGTGTTTTTTTTTGTGGCTTGGTGTTTTTTCCTTTGATTAAATTGTTTGCCCTGACACATTAGCATTCTGGAAGTGGCAGCCGTGGTTGAGTGTGGTTGTGGTGGTTCATGGTTTCATGGTTTCATGGTTTCATGGTTTCATTTCTGGAGTGGATCTGAGTGGATTCGTGTGCCCGAAGATTAACCCGGCGAGGGCACATTAGGCCAAAGAGTTGACAACTCCGTTTCCCCCGGGAGCGCATCTCCATCTTCCTCCTCCTTTCTCCTTTCTCCTGTCTCCTTCCTTCTTTCTCCTTACTCCGTCCTCCTTTCTCCTCCTCTTCCGTCGCCTTTGTTTGCCTGGGTCGAGTTAATTAATGAAATCATGTACACACACACACACACACACACCGCCTGACAGCCTGAAACTGTGACACTTCGGCACACTCTCTCACACACACACACATACACACAACCACTAACACACACACAGCACGGACATGGGCAATCCCGGCTAATTGTCATTGCTAATTTCCTTTTGCCACCACAAAGGCACAATAAACACAAACAAAAGTTGCCCCTGACTGTGTGTGTGTGTGTGTATTGGTTGTGTGTGTCTGTGTGAGTGGGTGTGTGCAAGTGTGGCTGTCTGAGTGACAGCTCCATTCAACTGCAAAAGCAAAAAGTTGAAACCACAATCTCAACATTTACTTGGTATCGACTATTCATTCGGACAGTGCGTTTCATAGCATTAAGGAAAGGTGGAGATTTATATTATACTTGAATTTAAAACTATATCAATATTCGTATTAAATAATTTAAAGTTTTTTTAAGCAAAATAAAAATACTTTTTATATATTTTTCAAATTTAATTTAAACATATTTAATTGCTTTTCTTGATTCTTGATTCAAGTTCTTATCACACATTCTTATTATTCTTTGCCATGTATCGCTAGTTTCAAACACACAATTTAAGAACTGATAGCTGCGAAACGCACTGTCCTTGCTTCGAGATTTCTCCAGTTGGATCTAAGACTTCTGATTAGATTAACCGAGACCCAAACTGAAAACTTTTGATGTCCCATTCGCATTCACATTCCCATACAGATTTCAATTCCCATTTCGCAAGGCAAGGATCCAGGATACGAGCGCAAGGATTCCCAAGGATTCGCATGGGCGTACTTGGGTACTCGGAGTTGGGGGGGACTTGCTAATTGCTAATTTAATTTAATTGAATCGGGCTCGGCGCTGTTGTTCTTTTTTTTTTGTGTTCTTATGCTTTACGCTTTTTTCTCTTACGGATACGGATGCGAGTACGGATGTGATGTCGCTTACGGTTGATCAAATACAGAGTACAAAAAGCTGCCAAGGCGAGCGAAGCCCAACAAAGTATGCTACACATTTATCAATTACGCTTACGGCACGTGTCTATGTATATGTAGTTACTGCACAAGTATGAGTGTGTTGTGTAGGTGTGACTGTGTGTGTTTAAGTGTAAGTGTGCGGACTGCACAAGCAGAGCCGGATTATGTTTATGTGTTTGGTAACAACTTGGCACGATTTGAATAAATCATCTTTGTTATGCTCCTTTTCCTTTCAATTTTTTTTCTTTTTTTTACTCCGCTTTCAACTTTTATTTTACACGTGTCGGGGTGTTTACACTGAGCGAAAAGGTGCGCTTTAAAGTCGAGATTTTCAAGATGTTTACATACTGCAAAATTATATTTATATTATAGGTTTTTTCAATTTTTCCATGGATTTTTTTGGCAACCAAAAGTTAAAATCGTTACTGATCCAACAATTACAAAAAAAAAAATTTAATTTTCTAAATTTAAGGCCGCGCAACGAACAAAATGCTAAATAATTAATTCTATCCACATTTTAATAATACTTAACTTTTTTGTAAGCTGTACTTCTATAAAAACCATTAAAAAATGCCAAATAATTTTGTAAAAGCTTATAATTTTGTAAAAAAAAAATTTTTAATTACGCATATCTATTTCACAAGCAACACTTTACTGCTATTAAAGCTGTCTAGCATTTATTTCCAATTTTACGAATTAAAACGTTATTTTCCCCTTTAAAGTTCGCACTTTTTCGCTCAGTGCAGGTGTGGGTGTTCATTTGCTTTGTGTCTGTGTGGGTGAGCTGGGAATCGAACTTACCGCTGACTGGGACTCTTGCTGTCCGACGAGTGCGCCGCGCTATTGTTGTCGTCATCGCGGACCATCTTGTGGTGGCGCTTGTGATAGCCACCGTCGCTGGGTCCACCGGCACCGCCGGATCCTCCGCCCGCACCGCTCGAACCACCGGCACCGCCTCCACCGCCGCCTCCACCACCTCCACCACCGCCGGAACTACTTGTGCCCGTGGGACTGATGACGTCCGTGTCGCTGTTGCAATCGTGCACCTGACGGGCCACATCCTTGACAAACTTTCCAGCTTCGTGCTCGTGCGCTTCCATCTGCAAGGATTCACGGAGGAGGAGGAGGATTAATTGGGCTTATTGCATTTCCTATTTCCGCATATCTACACATATACTATATAGTATGTATGTGTACGTACACATACATTGATAGGTTTGCCGACTGCCGAACGGGTGGCTCATCAATCGCAATTGAGCGCATCTTAATTGCTAATTATGCAAATTCACCCAGAAACAGGGCAAAATGTAAATGGCGATGCACAGCAAGGATCAAATTGATTATTTATGTATATTATATTATGAATATAGTAAAATAGAGTTTTATCAGAAGTATTGTATAAATACACATTTAAATAAATAGACTATGATAATTTAAATTTGTTGTAATTTGTAGTTCAATTTGAAACATTTTTGAATTGGTTACATTTAATATTAAAATAAACTTCAGAGTAATTTATGATATATTATAGCACTACTTTTTAATAGCAATATATCTCTTAGATTTGAAATAAGTACTTCATAAATAATAATAAGTTATAGTGAAAATAAAAGTTAATAATGATTTTTTTTGTTCATATTACAACTATTGTTTTACTACATCGAACAACTAAATATCCTAGCCAAATACAGATATAATATATATTTAATATAAGAATTTCTAGAAGCACATTTCCCACATTCTTCAGATTAAGAATTGCATACTTTCTATTATTTTGACCACAATTGTGAAACTGTGTAACTGAAATCTGTGGCATCGACATTCGTATCTGCAACTGAATCTGGTTGCAACTGAGCCTCTGTCATTTTGCCCCACGGTGCATTTTAAATCGGATGATGTTGACGATAATAATTAAACTTTGATTTGATTGCTTGCGACACGAAAACTTGGCCAACTCAGAGCCTTCAGGTGAGCCAGACTCCACGGGGAAATGGGGAAATGGCTGAATGGTTGAATGGCTGAGTGGGCGGTGAAAAACTGGGAAAACTGGCAAACAAGTTGGGTGGCGAAAAAACGTCCATGAGTTCGGGAAACTTTTGTCGAAGCATGGTTTTAAATATTGCATTATTGATTCCTGTCGGAATTCGCTGAAAACAGAAATTGACTTAAAGTCACGCTTTTTACGTCGAATGAGTTTTTATTTAACTTTCAAGGGGAATCGAATGAAAGCAGAAATTCAGAACTTAAATAGCCTTTTCAATGAAGTTCTGACTGTAACAAAAGAACAATTTTATTTCACTCAGAATCGTAGAATTACCTACAAATAATCAGGTAATACAATCAAAGGTAAGCGAAAGAAGGAACTTGCTTTACCAAAATCAATTATTAATATTTAATGCTCATGAAAATCTCACAAAATCAGTAGGATTTAGGCTAACAAAATCATGGAAATGCTGCTCTCAATGCTCCTCAAATCAAAATCAATAAGAATTAAGAATTAGATGAGGAACTAATCACGGCATTTCGAATTGCAGGCAACGCAATAAAATCAAAGCCGCCAGCTACTCAGATTGGATCAGTGTCGGGCCAGCCAGCACTTGTTGGCCAAAAACCATTATTAATTTAACGCCAATGGCCAAAAACCAACTTGAAGTGAGCTTCATTGGCAGTTGGGGCACAAAAGTACTTATATAAGTACTCGAGTGCCACAAACTTGAAAGCTTCGATTCGATTCGATTCGATTCGATTCGACCATTGGGACAAATTGACGGTGCTCGTATTCCGTATTTCGTATCCATATCCCAAATCCCTTATGTCTATGTGTGTGTGCCTATGAGTGTGTGTGTAAGTGGGCGTGTGTCCGTGACAAAACTGGATAAATCCAACAGAGGGTTTCAATTTGGCCGACGGTCCAAATAGGGGAAACCACATAACATATCTGGCGGGATTTGTACGCCGTTCCCACCAATTAGTTGACAAATCGGTTCAGTGCCAGATTAAGCTTCACTTGTGAGCTACCTCGCCAATAGAAACCCCCATGCACATCTGCGGTCAAAATAATAGTGGTCCTCTCACTTTCCTGCAGAATCGAATGGCAAACCCTCCACTCAGAGCTCGTTAGCAGTCAATTGAAAGGAAATAATAATTAACTACGACTGCATTAGCTTGTTTGCTTCGCACTTTGTAAAGGCACCCAAAAATATATTGTCTCTAAATTGGATATAAATGATAAAGGTTTTAATACCATATCTTTCCTTAAAATAAATTTAAACTACTTTTTAAATCTATTGAACATATTTATTAATTATTATACTCCTTTCACCATAGTACAAAATGATAAATATTGTGGCATTTATGTTTAATATATTTTTTGGTCTAATTAACTCATCTTTTTGGAAAATAATATATTTATTAGCTTGATTAACTCTTCTTCAAAAATACATTCATTTCAATTCTGTTAATTGTTACTACAATTAATATTTAATTATCAAGTGACCCAAGAAAGGTTATCAAAAGTAACACCCTTTTTTTGATTGTACTGCTTGGAAAACCTTTGGTTAGAAATACACTCGTAAAATGCAAAAACTTCTTTGAACATTGTAGCTGTATGCAGCACATTTATTAATGACCCCAGCTGTACATACATATGGAAACAGAAATATAGAGCTCCGATCCGTGCCACCAGCAGCTGCCGCCCGTGGACATGGCAATTAAGTGCGCCACAAAACTTGATTGGAATTTATTGTGGTCCCGTGCTGCTGGTTTTTGAGAGTCGAGCTGTTGGGCTGACAGCCCCCGAAAATCAAGGGACTCCATAAATAGTCTCCCCAAAAACTATGATGGGCTGGAAAGTGAGGTGTGGCACCCGGTTTTAATTAGCCAGTGACAAATCGGATGTATATATAAATACTAGCGCTTTTTGGGGAGGAAGGGGATTTTTCAATTTCCAATTTCCTGCAAATTCTAGGAAAACTGAACCATTTTTCGGGTGCAGCGAACTCGAGGGCACAAATTGCCGGCGAGTTGGCAACTTTTTTTTTTTTTGGATAGAGTCTTGATTTTCTTTAATGGCTTTTACGTAATTTAGCGAGGGCTAAAGCACTTGTGCATCGGTTTTGCGAAACTATTCGGACAGCGCTTTCAAAACTAATTTAATAACTTTCACTTTCAGTCAGTTTGGAAATTTTAATGAATATTCATTCCGATCCGGGCTGCTCCCTTTAATATGTATTTTATTTTTCGTACCTAGTTCAGGTAACGAGTTAAACCAAGTTTCGATTAAAAAGTTGTTCAAAATCCTGCGAACAATGCTGGTGAAATTGTGCTAACAAGTTTGAGAGGTTTAAAAGTACCTTATCCTTAATTTGGACAATTATTTACGTTCTAGTAAGAGCCATTAGGTTTGTTTTACAAACGCTTACTTTAATAGCCCCAATAATTTGTCCCAACTATAAATATTAATGATAAAATGCGAACTAAAACTTGAGCACCATCTATAAAAAGCAGGCTGCATTTCATGGCAATTTCCCCGAATGGATTTCCGATACTTATTTGCAGGCTGCTTCTGTCAACTATTTTGGGCAAAGCAATGGCTATAATCCTAATTCCTTGAGATATGGCCATGTTCGCGCTGCCCTTCGCCGGCAATATCATTAAAATGTAGCTACCATGGCCATGGACATAACCGTAATAGTAAAACTCATAATCAAAAATGTTTAAGTTTTATGCCTTTGTTTGTCACACGACATTAATGAGCGGAAAAGGCGGAGGGCGGCAAATGATTAGAGGAAATATTGCAAAATGGATGATAAAAGGGGGAGGGAGGAGGGAGGGGAAGGCTACAGTATGGCAGGGCTACAGGGAAATGATAATTTATCATATTCTAGGTCTTTGAACACATTCTTCTCTCTTTAAAATATTATTTTTAACTCTAACAAAAAATAATAGCGAAACGTTCACTGATTAGTCTGAACATTGAAATAAAAAAGTAAATAAATAAACTAGGATCTTGTCACTTTTCTGCTAATCCAATTTTTGCTAATTTTGAAAGGGGGACATCATAAAAATCGACAAAACCTCGACCGAAAAATCAAAAATAAACTAATGATGCAGCTTGATAGACATTTTAATGACAAATAAATAAATACATGGCACTTGTAAATCAGATTAAAATTAGAAAAGTTATAGGCTTTAAAGTCCTAGGATCTGCTCACTTTTCTGCAAATCCATTTCCTGCAAATTTCGAATGGATGGTAGCTAATTGGTAGGCTTTTTCCCTCAGTGTAATGAAAAGTACATAGCCGAAAAGCACGACCCAACGAGCAGACAGACAGCAATGTCCTTCTGGGAATCGAATGCCAACTGGGAAAGTGGACGAGGATGAGGATGAAAGTGGACGTGGAATGTGGAATGTGGGAGTGGCTGTGGAGGTGAAAGTGGAAAATGATAGGTGGACTCACCGCATATAGGCCCGTTGCAGTGGCGCCCGACGACGAGGAGGATGCCGCTGCCGCTCCAGTGCTGCCGTAGTTGAGCTGTGAGTGATAGCCGCTGGAGAGGATCTTCTTGTGTGCGGATGCATGCGCCCGATACGCGCTCACGCTCAGTTTCATCCTGACATCCACTCGGCCGTCCGCTTCCTTTGCTCCTTCCGCCGCTTCTGCCGCTTCTGCCGCTTCTGCCGCTTCTGCCGCTTCCTCCTCTCCGCCTCCCGCCGCCCACGCCCTTCTCTGATTCCTCCCCCTCCCTTTCCCCTCTCTGCCTCACCCTCTGTTCGTATTTTTGTGGGTGTGTGCGAGTGGGCGGAGGCGTTGGCGTTGGCGTTAACGTGGGCGTGGCTTTTCTAACGTTCTACTGATGATGTTGCTATTGGTGTTGCAGCTTGTATTGCTGCTGCTGCTGCTGCTGCTGTTGTTGCTGCTGCTGTTGCTGCTGTATTTGCCACTTGTGTTGCTGCTGCAACTGCAGTTTCTATAGATGCTGCTGCTTGTACTGCTGGCTTTTCAATAGTTTTTATTGCCCTTTTTCTATTGCAGCTGCGTTTGCTGCTGTTGCAATTATTGCTGTTGGTTTTTCTACTCCAGATGTTGTTGTTTCTACTTCAGTTGTTGCTCCTGTTTACTTTTCTACTGCAAATGTTGCTGCTGTTGTTGTTGCTACTTCACTTATTGCTAGTGTTGCGTATGTTGCTGCTGTTTTTTTACTCCACTTGATCTTCAAGTTGCTGCTGTTTTGAGTAGCTACTGCTGATGTTGCTTGTTTGTTTGCGATGTTGCTGCTGCCCAATTCAATTCCCTATGTTGCTGATTCCTTTATTGATGCTGCAACCACTGTTTCTTTTCTTTCTTTCCTTCTATTTTATGGTATATATTTTACTACTGGTGTTTCTGCAGCTGCTGATATTGCTGGTGTATAGCTTCAAGTATTATTTATGTTGCCGCTGTTTCTGCAGCTATTGTTGTTCCTCCTTCCGCTGTTTTTGTTTCTTTAGCTTCAGATGCCCTTTGTTGCCGTTGTCGCTTTCAAGTTGCGTTGAATTGGGCTTAATTGAGTGGCCACAGGCGTCTGAGGATGACGACAAGGACACCGTTTTTACGGGGGTGGGCGTGGCAGCCAGTGGAGGAGTAGTAGGAGGACGACCTGGCTATTGGGTTTGAGGGCTGGCAGGAATGTCGACACCCGAAACACAAAAGCGACCTTTTTATTGCCGCCTTCGGTGGCGTTGCTACGTTGCTACTGATGTTGCTGTTGTTTCTACTGATGTTGCTGTTGCTGCTGTTGTTGTTGCTGCTGCTGCTGTTTCTGTTGCTGATGCGAAACAAAGACAAAGGTCCCAGCGTTGATGGACTGATGGCCAGGAGGAGAATTCGTGGGTCCTTTGTGGGGACCGCTGCTCAGTTTTAGTTGGCCATAAACGATGCTGCTGCCATTGAGGCATGTAGCTGGCTCTTCCCCTCTCCCTCTCCCTCTCCCTCTCCCTCCCTCTCTCTCTCTCGCTCTCTCTCTGTTAGTGCGGATGTGCGTTTTCTGGAGGGGGGCGTGGCTGCAGTACCGTTGTCAAGCGCTTTCTCTCTGGAGGATCCTTCCCTTCGGTTCGCTTTTAATTGTTTGTAATTTGGTTTTTAGTGCTCTACGGTTGCTTGTTTTTGTTTGTAGTTCGTGTATCCTTTGTTCCTATTTCGCTTTTTTGTTTCCTTTTTGTTCTTGTTTTAGTTGTTTTTTGCTGCTGCTTCTTCTTCTTTTTTTGGTAGTTGCTTTGGTGTTATTGTTTTTAAGGCCTCATGTCACTTTAGTTACAAGTATCTGTATCTGTATCTGTATCTGTAGCTGCCGCTGTCGTTTTTCGCTCGTCGTTCCGCTGCTTTTGTTGTTGTTGTTTTTGCCTGCAGGCGAAAAGTGGAGAGAGAGAGAGAGAGAAGGGAGAACATTTAGGTAAGAAAACATTAAAGTGGAAATTAATTAAAACGTCTAACAATTTAGTTGCGAAGCACAGCACAACAAAAACACAACAGAATAGTAGAGAACAGAGCACACACACACACACACACACATACAAACAAAAACAAAAGCACGCACATCATTAAGTGCTTGCCACCGAAACGATTTAGTTTTCACCGAATTCCAAGGACCAAAAGTCGTTTAAAGGGCAACCACAGCATCCCCATCGCTATTTGCACACAGCACACAGTTACACAGAGAAAAAAATATGCATCAAGGCAATTTTAAGGTGGTGAAATTGTATTTTCTAAAAAAATTCATCTTTTAGTACTTTTAACTAACAACAGGTCTAAGTTAGTTAATCCCTATTTAAGCTTAAAACCAAAAATTTGTTGCAGAATTTATAAGGACTACAAATTTAAGACAGCAAACATAACAAAAAACTATCAAAAGATCTATTATTCTAAATTGAATTTTTGTAGTCTACTTTTGTGAGTTACCTGAATATTTTAATCTATTTTTGAAAAATTTGTCAATATTTGTGATATACAAAAAACGCACATACTTAAAACTTATTAAAAAGATTAAATATTCAAATTAAGCTTTAATTTAACCTTTTATTTTGAAAGAGCCTCTATAAAATATTGTTTCTTTAGATTTATTATATAGAGAAGGCAGTTTTCTTCCAGTTCACCTCCACCTCCATCTCGTTCACACAGTCTGCAGTGTCTTGTTTAGATTGCAATTCAAATTAATATTGTTGGAGCTGAGCAAATACACACACACACACACTTACACACACGCCCCATTTGCAGCTAAATACTAAACTTTGAGCCCAAGTCATTCGCAATAAATACTAGTTGGGGGATGGAGATTGGGGTGGGAGATTGTGGGTGGTGGTGCAAGCAGAAGAAGAAGAAGAAAAAGTGAAAAAGTGATGGCAACTGTCAAAGGTGTGTTTGTGTGTGTGTGTGTATGTGTGTGTGTGTGTGGGGGTCAGCGCAAAGTTCATTAACTTTGCGGCAAGTTTGATTTGTGCGTAATTGAACCTTCTCGGTTGGACAAGTTGCCCAACTCAACTATCGGTCGCCGTGATTGATGGCCAATGATTGAAAGGGTGTCACGGGGGTTGCAGGGGCGATTGAAGGGGGGTTGGTGGGGCCAAGGCCAGGCATTTATCTAATTAGGTACGGCCACTCGACCCTAATAAATCATACTGATTAGCTTCGGATAATTTTCAATTATTAGTCAGTTTCGGGTGGGCCATTTATTAGCCAAAGGCAACGCTATAAATGTTGATATATCTATTTATGTAAATGGTGCGGAAAGTGGATGGCAAAATGTCAAACTAAAAATAAACACAACCTTTTTTGCATGGCTAAAAATAAAGATTTCCTGTTCTTGCATAATATTTATTCAGTGTTTTTATCACGTATTCATAATGGCAATCGTTCTCTATTTTTGGCTAAAATAAAAAACCAACAAACCATGTTAGCAATAAATAATGTTAAAATAATTCACTAAGCTTAAATGAAGTCAAGTGAATATAACAAGAAGTAATTGCAATAAATACAAACAAACAAATAAATCATCCATCAATGTTTCAATTCGATCCGGAAAGCATTGAATATTTATAAGCAAGGCAATTGTTTCGCCGCAATTTTCTAATGAATTACAATCGCTGAGCAAATCAAGCGTAGAGTAATTCGTATTTATTATTCAGCTGTTGAATCGTCCCCGAATAAACCCAAGCCCAATTCCCGATCCAAATCGGGCGCAACAGCATTATTGGGCAATCAATCGGGCATCATCGCCCACTCAGTAAGGCATTTATTCACTCGTTCCCCGAACTCAAACACTCGACATTCACTCGGCATTCGCCTGGCACTCGTTTGGCATTCACTCGCATTCGGCATTCATTAGATAGACAATGCCGCATTTTGTGCCCTTCGGAAATGGATTTATTACGGACCACCATCGACGGTCCAAGGATTTTTGCACCATGGTAAAGGAATAAATGATTTTTTCGTTGAAACCGAACAGGGAATTTCGTGTCTCCAGGAGACTGTAAACATGTCGCAAATGCAAATCAAAAGTATGAGTGGGATCGCCTCGGGTATCAGATATTGTCGCTCGATTTCCGCGGATTTACATTTTCCACAGAAAGAGAGAGAGAAAGAGAGAGAGTGGGGGGGTCCTGCTGACAGGATACGACGATTGGCCATCAAACTCGAGCAATTACAACGCTGAATCCATGGAGCCGAAGGCAAACATTCAATAAAGGCTGTAAACTAAGTAAACCAAGTCGGAGCACCGGGCTCCTGACTTACCTTGTACTCTTACACTGCGGGAAAAGCTCTGCACTTGGTCTGGCATTTAAGGAAGTTCAATATAAATGATTTTTTTGAGCAAAGCTGCTACAGAGAAAACCAAAGCCGCATCATCGAATTTCGTTATAGTTTAAAAGTTAACAAACAAATTTATTATATTGAATTAAACTACAGTCGACTCTCGTTAATTCGAAACTCGAGGGACTCTTGAAATATTTCGAATTATCGAGTGTTTGAAATATCAAATGGTTCGAAATTTCGAAATTTTCGAAAGAACTTTGTTATGCTGGCTTGCTTTAAAGCACAGTTCTGCTGCTCACACTGCTCAATAACTTTTTTTTAAGAGAAAAAGTGCATGAAATACTTTTTCATCACTTTCGTTTTGTAGACATAAGCTTTGTAAGGTATCAAATGAGGATCTTGCTTCCTTAACTGACACCTCTGCCAAAGGTTCTTTATACTTTCTAGGGCTCATAGCTAACACCAACTTTTAATATGCATACCAACGAAAGAGTAACAGTAACTGAATAACTACACAAACCAATTCGTAAGAAGTGTGTGCGTCAAAAACTATATAATCAAAACAAAAACAAAGGCAAGTTTGAACTTGTCGCAAAATTTTTTCTCTGCAACTTTGAATTGTCGAGTGTTAGACGCTGATGAGTTCGAATTAACGCGTGGTTTTGTTAAATATCAATGATTTTTTCGTTCGAATTACCAAGTGTATGAAAATGTATTGATTTAGTTCGAAATATAAAGAGATTTCGTAGGGACCTCGTGATAACTTTGAATTATAGAGAGGTTCGAATTATCGCAGGTTTGAATTAACGAGAGTCGACTGTATATATAAATCATTTTAAATAATTATATATTTTTAATGTGCTAAAATTTAAAATAATCTGCAAATTTATAACGAATTTTCATATCAGCTTTAATCCAACACATACATTGAAATAAGATGCAAATTAATTAGCTTCCCTCAAAATAGAAATAGAGCTCCAAAAAATATTTTAGTTTTCAGTTGGCATCCCCTATTTTTTTGAAGTGCTCTCGCAGGCTTTTAATTCTTCTCGAAGAGTCGATGGATTGCACCTGTTGGCATCTTGTATACACAACGATGGCACATAAAATGTAATTATAAAGCATTCAAACATCCGCAAAGGGACGTAAACTTCGCCTGTAACGAGAGGGGAGGGGCACAATGTTGGCCAGAGGTCGGGGGTCAAGGGTCGAGGGTCGAGGTGGGGGGGAGGTGAAAACAAAGTAAGAGACTTAACACTTTGTGCGAACGCTTAACCAGCTTAAAGGAGCCCAAGGAGCCAAAGGAGCAAAAAGGAGCCGAGGAGTCGCAGCAAGTTTTATGAGTTTTTGCCTGGTCAGGCAGATCCACTGCCCATCTCTCTATATATACACCAATATATATATATATGAATGTATGTAAGTATATATTGGTTATATATATTTGCGCATTTTTCTACATAAAACTCAATGAAGCATCCACTGAACTGTCGGGCAGATAAAAAACTGGAGAAACTGGCAGCGGCTGCTGCTGATGTGGCTCCCTTTTGCTCCGCCGCCGCCCCTGCCGATTTCAATTTCAAAATGTACGCTCCATTGGGCAGTGAAGGCATTCCTCCTACCCCTACCCCTTCCCCTCTTCTCCCTCTACTACTCCCCTTTTGGGTGGTTACCACCCCCCTTTTGTGGCCACAAGCACACACAAAAAGTGACATTAAAAAATGGTAGCCACTTGTCAGGCCGAAGAGGCGAAGGCAACAATATTTATCAAAAACTTATCGAGTTGAGGGGGCAGGGGGCAGGGGAAGGGGGGTGTTTCGTTTGGTTGCTATCGCAGCGGGGTCACGCGGCGTATGCGTTATGTAAAATTCATATTCGTAGCCCCCCCGTCGAATAAAAATCAACACAAGAAACAACAGGCGCATTTTGATTGGTTTTTTCGGCGGTTAATTAGAGGACACGTGTCCCCCGATTCGACATTAAAATGCATGACATTTTCTATTTTCCTTTTTTTCTATTCTACTTTTTTTTTTTGAGGCGTCAGCTAGGGAATTCAAATTATGAGCGATGGTTCTTGGATAGAACAATTCTGAGCATTTACAGCAGCGGGCAAAAAAAATAAGGCAACACATCAAAAGCTAAAATTATTTCAAGTAAGCAAAGAAAAATAAAAAAAATATTTTGTTGGAAAAGAAAAGTAGCCATTATTACTTAAAATATTAATTACGGTTTATGTTTCAAGTGTTTTAGAGTGTTAATAAAATTGTTCCCTTAGTTTTTTTTTAATAATAATTGTTAATAATTCATTTTTAAATAAAGGACTTTATCATCTAGTTTTTAAACATTATGCTAAATTTATAATCTATTTCAATGAAAATAATTGTAAAGCATTATTTTTTCCTTTATGAGGATCTAAAAAATATTAATGATGGACAAAACATATAGGAGATACTGGCAGTTAGATGTGTATCCGAATGGGCCATCGATAAATCTCGCCGAAAACCCTCTGAGTTCGCTTGACCCACATTTCGCTTTGAAAGTTCTTTTATTTTTCTTTACTCGGGCCAATTGCGATTTCAGTTAGGTAAGAAACTCGC